ATAAAAGGGAGTAAAGGGGTTGTAAATAAATAAAAATTATTAATTTAAAAAATCATACTTTCAACGTCGCTCGATACAACGCTCGGTTATTAAACCGACATTGAAAGCCTTCCAGAACCGACGTTGAAAGCTTTATTTGTAGTAGTGTTAAAACTGTCTTTCTGAATGAGGATTTCGAGGAGGATGTTTATATGGACCAACCGATGGGGTTTATTACAGAAGGAAGAGAGCACATGATGTGTAAACTTAAGAAATCAATATATGGACTTAAATAAGCTTCTCGATAATGGTATCTTAAGTTCAATGATACTATTCTGCCTTTTGGATTTAAGGAAAATACTGTTAACCAGTGTATATATCTGAAGGTCAGTGGGAACAAGTTTATATTTCTAATTCTGTATGTTGATGATATCTTGTTTGTGACTAATGATCTTGGTCTATTAAGTGAGACTAAGAAGTTTCTCTTTAACAACTTTGAAATGAAAGATATGGGTGAGACATACTATGTGATAGGAATAGAAATATTTTGTGATAGATCACAAGAACTGTTAGGTTTGTCTCAGAAAGCATATATTAATAAAGTTTTAGAGAGATTCAGAATGGAAAAGTGTTCAACATCTCTCGTTCCAATACTGAAAGGAAACAAATTTGGTTTCATGCAATGTCCAAAGAATGACTTGGAACGGAAGCAGATGAAAAATATCCCTTATGCATCTGTTGTTGGGGGTTTGATGTATGCTCAAACATGTACGAGACCAGATATTAGCTTTGCAGTTGGTATGTTTGGTAAATACCAGAGTAATCCTAGATTAGATCATTGGAAGGCTGCAAAGAAAGTCTTAAGATACTTACAAGGAACAAAGAATCACATGCTTACTTATAGGAAAGTTGATCACCTTGAGGTGATTGGATATACATATTCAGATTTTGCTGGTTGTATGGATACACGAAAGTCTACATTTGGTTATGTGTATCTTTTATCCGGAGGAGCGATTTCATGGAAAAGTGTGAAACAGTCTATCATTGTTGCATTCACCATGGAAGCTGAATTTGTGGCATGCTTTGAGGCCACAGTTCAAGCTAATTGGTTGCGTAATTTTATTTTAGGACTTGACGTAGTCGATAACATTGCCAAACTGCTGAAAATTTATTGTGATAATTTTGCAACAGTCTTCTTTTCTAAGAATGACAAGTATTCCAAAGGTGTGAAACATATGAAATTGAAATACTTTGTCGTTAAAGAAGAAGTTCAGAAACGTATAGTATCAATAGAACATATTAGTACTAATCTTATGATGGTTGATCCTTTAACAAATGGATTATCGTCCAAATTATTTGTTGACCATATAATGAATGTGGACATTATATTCACTAATGAATGTTGAATGTTAATGTTATTATTATTGCTTATGTGACTCTTTGAAATCTTTAATGTATAAGTTTCTGAAATTTGTGTTTTCTTCTTTATTTATATGTATGCAAATTATGATGAAGAAAACAAATTATGTTATTATTATTGAGATGATATTATGTTTGAACCCATTATAGACTTCTCATTATAAAGTCATATTAAGGAGAAAGAGATAATATAATGTTACATGGAAGGGAGCATGTCGATTGAATGATATATAACCGCCATGACTATTGTTATAGCTGTATATTTAATTATGAATAATGATAGAACCAATTTATGTAAGATCCTTTAATGCACATCATGATTTAAGTGTTAAATCACAGTATGACATCACATGGGTCAAGTGAGAGAATGTTAGAATTAATTTAATTAATTCATTCCATTATGTGACTTATGTAAAATATAATAATGGACTCAAATGTGATTTAATAAAATATAAGGACCTATTGGTTATTATGTGAAGTCAGAATAAAATAAAGATATAATAAAATAAAAACTTACGGTAATCAACTTGATGCACGTGAGTTAATAAAAGATGATTGAGATTCTGTCTCTAACCATAGGGGTTTTTTACGGCAAACCATCAAGAAAGCGTGAAAAGAGAAAGAAAGGCAAAGAGATAGATTGAGAAAAGGAGGTTGGAGTTAAAGAACAAACTCTCATGGATCAAGGTTAGTCTTCTTATTATGATTCATGTATATTATATTGTGAAAATCAATAATATAAAAATAGTGTAAAGTAGTTTTCTAGTTTTCTAGAATGAATTAAAGAAAACTACAAATTAACTTACGAATATAATTTTAGAAAAGTTAACAATAAATACTCTAGAAAAATATAATTTATGTATAAATAAAATAGAATAGAAATCATCATAAATTAACAAATTATTATCTACACATACAATTTTAACACTCAAATGGAAGACAAAATTAAGGATAATTTGTTCAAAAATTTTAAACTAATTTGGATGTTGTAGATTGTGATATGAATTATTTAAGTGAATAAGATAATGTATTGAACTTATTAAATGTTGATAGTAAATATTGCCTACTTACGAGAGTCTAGAAAAAAAAAAATCCACACAGGGATTAAATATAAACTCAGAGATTTATTGAAAAATGTAGGATTTGTTATAACACTTGAAAAAAAATTCAAATACATTATACTACTGTTGTGAGTGAATACTTTATAGATGAATAAAGTGAATACTTTATTTATCTATTGTGCCTAGAATTTATGTACAGTTTTCATATTTGATATATATCAATGATGAATAATCCATGTGAAAAAAATTTATTTTTTTTTAAAAATCAACAATAACATCACATATAATTTTCAACAATTATAGTTTTATCAAGATTCTGTATAATTGCTTATAAAAAAGAACAAAAAAATATAATAAATACATATATGTTGCACAACAATTTTTCTAATCATTCATTAAAAAACAAGCATAATACCCTATAGTTGGATGCCAATTTTACAATGATGTGTACTAGATATTGCAATTTAAGTGTACAAAATAAATTAGATTTAACTTATAAATGTCAATAGTAATAATATAAAAAAAATAGAAATATTATTTGTCTGAAATGTATTGAAAGAGGGATTAAACAATGAACTCAAGGATTTATTAGCCAAATAAAAGGTTGTTGAGATTATTCGTTTATAGTAAAAAAAAAGTATTAAACAGAGTAGGAATATATATATATATATATATATATATATATATATATATATATATATATATATATATATATATCACATTTAACATATTATTGCATGTTGGGTTGTTTGGTGTCTTTTAGATGGTCATGACTGAGTAGATCAAGGAGTTACATTTAGTATATTATACATATATGCTCAACTATTAATTAGATATTAACTATTTTATTAAGAAAGACAAAAATCTTGGGATTACAACAAAACAATTGATATTATTTGTTCTCTTTGGTCAACGTCCCTGTTTTATTTATTTCGGATTGTTCATATTTATGTCTAAAGTGGCGGTGCATGTACATGCATGGATTTATACTTTGAAAGTTTGTTACGTATCTTTATTGTGAACCCTTGGGATAATGATAATTTTTTGGAAAATAAATGAAACTGAGGCCAAATCATTGTGGATGGCATGGATTGACATTGAAGGGCATATTGTGGGTATGGGTGGTTTTTGAGATAGGGACTTCCCATAAAGGCATAAATGCCATGGAAATTAAAAAGATGATGGTGAGAAGAGAGAGAGAGAGAAGAAAACATAGTGGTGGGGTTGATCTCCTGAAGAAACGGGTAGGATATTGATGGTCAATAAATGCTTTTATTTTATTGTCTACCGTTTGAGTTCATCTATTATTAGTACCATTCTTCACTGTCAGCAAGGAATTAGTCACCCACATGCCCATCAACTCACGGAATTATTCTTCCATAACATGCACATTCATTGTCTTTATTAAGCTAAACTCTTCTAATACTATTTTACTTCCTTCTCTTTTTCATTTCTTCTTTCAATCCACATTCAAGAAATTCATACATAATTATCATTAAACAGTTTTTTAATTGTGTTATTCATAATCATCCTTAACAAAGAAAAACAAAAATCGTGATACTCATAATTTGTAGAATTCGGCAATCATTTTACACAGAAGCTCACTGTAGTAAAGACAAAATCTGACTAGCTAGCTATACACAAAATAATCAATACTACAAGGTGAAGCTTTTGAGTTACAGTAACAGTGAAACTTGTGGACGAATGCAATTCATAAACAATTATTGCAGTCAGGGTTTTTTTTTTACAGAGGCTACAATTAGGTTGTTCGTAATATAATACTTTGCAATTTAACATTGTCAATAACTTCATTCTATTTGTATTCTTCTTTATCTCTGTATGTGACATTACATACTCATCTTATGATATATATATAAATTCACAGATCTACTCATCGAACTGATGTAGTCTCTCCCAGAAATTGAAGGGTGGAAGGTATAATATGGAGCACTAAGAAAGGACAGAGAGAAGTGGTGAAAATGAAATAAAAATGGCTGAAAGGTCGATTCAATGTACAGTTTATCCCTGAGAAGGAAGAGAGGGAAGGGGTGCATGTACTGTAGGAGGCATCTGTACATGTTGCCAATCAGCCCAACCAACACAACTTGGGCTCCACACCCTCACAGTTTTCAGCTCTATCTCTCCTTTTGCCCATCCCCCTCTCTCTCTCTCTCTCTCTCTCTCTCTCTCTATATATATATATATATATATACCTAAAGCTGCAAATCACTATTTTTTTTTCTTTTGAAATTAAAGTCTGTATTCAATTTGAAAAGTAAACTTAGTTTGATAAGATATTTGATTATCTTCAAAAAAGAAAAAAAAAACGTTTGTATGTTTTAAATTTATCAGAAAACTCCATTATGCAGAAGTAATACTTGGATTGTTTTACAAACTAACCTTGTTGCACAGATACATATACGACACCCTTATATGTGTAACCTCACAAACTTCAAACTGGGACCATTATGATATCTCCAACCCTACCCTTTCGATATCCTCCTTTTATAAAAAATTGTATTTGTTTAATTTCCTCAAAAGCTAATCATTTGGTTTGAGTTTTCCGAGCAAGGGTGCATCTCGAATTGGTATATGTTCTATCTATCAACAAACACATAGTCTCCTCTCCCACTATGTAAAGGAAAAGGGCATCATATGCACCCAACAAAAAGCTGACGTAGGTTTTCAGCTTCACGGGATGAAAAGGCTATCCAATGACCTACAACTACAATCATAACAATATATGCACCACAAACTTGTATGTAGCAACTTGATCTTTTTTAATTTTGTCATCACACTCTTCAATCATGTAATGACACGTTAGTACTTTATTATGTCATTAAATCCCTTTCATTAAAATTGCCTTGTTGAATTTCATAAAACGCATTCACATGTTAGTGAGTTTAATGAAAACATTAACTCAACAATTTACTAACGTTATACAAATTCCGTCCCCTCTTAATGTACATTCTCTCATCGACTGCTGAATTGTAGCAAGTAGAGCTCGCACTCTCACTCTTGTTATCATATAATAAACTTCATTACGAAATTGTGGAGTAATTGGAGAACACGTACCAAGAGGATCTTGAGGAGAAAGCAAGATGTCAAAGGAGAGAAAACCATGAAATGTCCCACAGGTTTTTGTCCATGCACATTCATCATTGTTCATCAAAGTTTGAACTTTGATGAGGCCTACAGCCTCTGGATTTGAGAAAAGAGGCTTTTCTTCATTTTGACCCTTCTTCCTGTTGATTTTGACAAGCAAGAATGCAGCATATATCTCCCTTTTCGAGTATATACGAACAACAGTGTAAGCATATAACATAGCTCAATGTACATATTACGTATACTGATACAAACGTAGAATGCAACAGTGAAATTTGTACATACATCCAAAAGTACATAATCATCAACGTACGAAAAACTAAGACTTCTTTTCAACATGATACTAAAATTTATGTTGGTTATAAAGCTCATACAGAAATCGTAAATGATTAACTGATATAGCTGTGATATCTCAGCAGAATAAACCGACCAGCTACATGGCAATTAAACAACTGAAGCTGCTTAGTGTACCAATTAGCTTGAGTTATATATATGCTTTTGCCAAAAGCATATACAATGTAATAATCATTGTCTGCAATGCCTTGATCAACTTAATGTACAAAAGAGAGAAGATCTTATACATGAAAAACAAAGTAAATGAAGTTGGATTTCCACCTTGCTTTAAATCTTGGCAACCAGTGTGACAATTCCATCAGAAAGAAAACCAAAGGAGAAGAAAGAAGAACAAAAGGTTGCCTTCATCTAAACTTGGTGATTATATATAGTTCTCAGCTGAGAAGTCAAGGATATATATGTACTCATACCAAATAAATAGTTCACAAATTAAGTAAGATCTAAGAATAAGATAATTCACATAGAGAAATATATATAAAATAGAACCAGTTCCATTTTCCTTATGTCTTTACTGGGTGAAGTTAGTCATTGTCTTGTTCTACTTCTGATGCAGGCTCTTCTTCTTCTTCAAAGCCATCGATCCCATAAGCTGCATGGCCACTTCCAAAAGCTTTGATGTGATCTTTAAGAGACCTCTTGTGCTTGAAATCAGAGCCACATATGCAATACCAAAGCTTCCCACAGTTCTTTTCATGGGTTCTCCAATCACCTCTCACAGCAAAAGCCTTGCCACATTTTCTACACATGAAGGGCTTAATTCCATGCTTCCTCTTGTAGTGTGTTTGAAGAGTTCTGAAATCTTTGAGGGGCTTTGCTCTTGGGTGATCAATGTTGTTCCTGCAACCTGGGGAACAACAATAGCATGGAAGCCTAAGCATACCTGTTGGTTGGGTACCCCTCAGAGATTCAGGCCCTTTTCGGTACTGTGATCCATGCCCCCACATATGCATCTGACAAAAGAAAGAAAAGAAAAGAAATTATGGATACCACAAAAAGAAGATAACTAGGACAGAGAAAACAAGGCAAAAATGATCAAAAGCTTCATTAGTCAATACATGTAGCGAAAAATTAAACATTAAATGAAACATATAAAACAGATGCTGATTAAACTTGAATTGTTTGGATTTGGATTGAGCTGACTTAGAAGTTAACTCTCAGTAGCCACTTGTATTGATCAAACACTATTAATTTTTCTCTGAATATGGGTAATGAATTACGCATATTAATTACTTAATTCTAGGACACTGAAATCAAATTAACAAAAGAAGATCTGTTTGTGATGAAGGTTTAATGAAAACACAGATAAATATTCATTGTTTACCACTCTTTTTATTTAGAATATACATCTAATGCAAAAAGAATGTCACATTCAGGTGAGAGAGAGAAGGAAGGGTACAGCTGATAGCTATGTCCGTTTATGAGACTTTCTGGTATGGAAGGTGTTTGATTTCAGAGAGAGTAGGGCTACAGAGAGAGTAGGGCTACAAAGAGAAACAAATCTAAGCGTTGTATTTGATATCATTATCTGAGAGATCTGGAAGAAATACTGCAAAATTTACAGTTCTATGCGCAGCTGCATGCCAAACATAAAAGAAGCACAGACTTCAATGCACCAAGACATAAAGAACATTGCCTGAGTAGTTTAATCAACGAAAAGGATATAGGATCTGATCTAAGTCACAGTTTGAACCAAGAAAATATTAATTAGTTCATACATTAGTACCCGTTTCACCATGCAAGAAAAAAAAAGAAAAAGCTGAAAATAATTTTGATCATAATGATGACACAAGTACAAGTGAAAAAAAAAAAAAAAAAAAACAAGAACCTGGAGGGAAAAGGGGGAGAAGAAAAATGGAAGGAGAAGAAAAAATGAAAAGGAGAAAAAGAAAAGAACAATGTTTTCTTCTCAGTACCATATTTCAAAATTAACAAATTATTTGTGTGTGTGTGGTTTTTCTCATATAAATTGGAAGAAAGCAGAAGATGAAGAATAAGAAGTAGAAACGGGGTGTTTATTCTTGAACATGTGTATCGGTTATGATAAAATAATTTGTTTATGTTAATACTGACCTGCATGTTGTTGTATCTGTTGAAGGTTTTGCAACAAACAGGACAAGAGAACTGTGTAGGACCAATGAGAATCTGCGAAGGGGTAGGGATCCAGTACTGTCCCTTGTTGAGCCTGTTGGACAAGAACCCTGAAGAAGAATCCTCACTCCCATTATTATTACTATCTCCTCCTCCTCCTTGTTGTTGCCCTTTGTCTGCGGTACAAGCAGAAGACAGCACGGAAGCTATCTCAGCAGCACTAGGGCTTGGCAAGCCTATGTGCAGTGCAACAGTGACACTGTCATCACCATCCTCTTCATGCTCCTCCTCTTTGGGGTTATGGAGGTTCCTGTTATAGTCCTCTTCCACATCCATGGCAGTGCAAACCTGACCCTGATCCTGGTAGTCCTCCTCTTGTTCCTCATCATTTTTTGGGCTGAGAGTGAGAAGAGGAAGGGCCTCTCTCAAGGGAGGGGAAGGGGGTGAAGAAGAACAAGAAGTGGCAGTGGTTTGAAAGTGGTGATGGTGGTGGAAGTGGAAAAAGGTTCCCTGGTTGATGTTGGTGGTGGTGGTGGTGGTGGTGGTTTGGTTGATGAAGTTGTGGGCATATGGATGGTGGTGGGGTGAAGGGTTTGGAGAAGGGTAGTGGAAGAAAGGTGGTGAGAAGAAATTGGAGTAAGGGTCTGCCATGGGTGGAATGGAAAAAGGCTTGTGTTTGAAGAGAGAGTGGGAACAGTACAAGTCTATGTAGGTTTGCTTTTATATACAGATAGAGAAAGTACAAGATGGCTGAAGGAAGTGGATGGTGGAGAGAGAGAGACAGACTGAGAGAGAAAGAGGGAGGATATGGGGAAAAGAAGTAAAGTCAAGTGGGGGAGAAAATAAAGTAACCTAACACAGCAAATCATTTTTATCAAAAAATAAAATAAAATTGGATGATTAGGATTTTAATCATTGCCAGAGTACAGGAACTTAATGACATTTTCATCTCCATTCTTAAATTTCTTTTTTACTGTAATTTTTCTTTTGATAGAGAATACCGTTAGTGGCAGTTTATAGTTATGGAAAATTATTCAATTAACTTTAAATTATTATTTACTGATTTACGTGCAAACTGTATATTGTGATTTAGGTTTGTCATCATGACCTTATACTTAAAAAAATGTGATTAGAGATTTCATTTTGCTTTTGTGTGTAAAAATATCTCTAAAGATTGGTTAATCCTTTAAAAGGAGTTTAATGTTATGAAAGATTAGTTTTGTATACATTTTAAAAAATAGCTATTCTTAATCTGTTGTTAATTAATTTTTATGATAAAAAATTAATAATATATATAATATGCGTATATGTGATATTAAAATAGTCTATGGAATGTAATCTTTAATATACTTCTACTAATATGTTTTTAAGTCATTAATATTTTTAAAATTATAAAATACTTTTATGTGAGATTTTTGTAGTGTACTGCAATGGTAAATTTAATTTGTCTCTTGATTAGGAGACAATCGCTAAGGGGTTTTTTTTTTTTTTTTTTTTAATTCTTGTGAATCATAATTCCTAAATTCTAGTTTATTAACTTAGATTCTTTTATAATGTTTATATATACTTTTGTTAAAAAATACCTTTCGAATTGAAATCAAGATTATATTATCTAACATACAAGAAAAAAACTCACATCAATGACCACTTCCATGAGATGTACTATATTCATCATTTGAATTTGTGATTTAAAATATATATATATATATATATATATATATATATATATATATATATATATATATATATATATATGTGTGTGTGTGTGTGTTACAGACCAAATCATAAATTTGGCAGTAGAAACCCGGAATTATTTTGAAACATAACTATCCGAAGTACAATTCAAAGAACTTCCAAAACAATTAAATTAAAATAAAGTACTGACATACACAATATAAATGAAAAAAAAAATATAGACAATTATGTCATTTATTCATGCAAACAGTACTAAAATGAAAGGGACAACCATTCACTATCAATCTCTACTTGGAAGTAAATGGTGCATGCTTTGTGTGAAAATTATTGTGTGTGAAAATGATGGTTGAAGTTTGAGGTGGAAAATTAATTCAGATGTCATAATTTCATACTAATGTTAGTAGATTAATCTTTTACATAGAAAAAAAATTTGTATTGAATTGGAATTAGTATATATATATATATATATATATATATATATATATATATATATATATATTAAAATTTATTTAATAAGATCATGATGTTGTTTTCTCTATATAAATTAATACTTGAATATAATTTTATAATTTTCTTTTCTTACATATATAAGCTATTACACATTATTTACCAGTATTAATGTGAACTAATTCATTGTTAATTAGAAAAAATATTGCTTCTATTAATGCCAGTTTGTAAATCAATCACGGAACTCATTATAGTGAGAGAATTTTAGTGACCAATTGTGATCGCTAGATCGTTTAATAACCACTTTTTTCTAAATATTGCAATTTAGAGACTGAGAAAATATCAGTCTGTAATTCATTTCCCGACCAAAATAACGACTAATTTTTGTAACATTTTTAAATCAATATCATCCTTACTATGTTACAAATGTCTTGTTATAAGAGGAGAGAATTGTGTACCAAAAGCCATAATAATTCAAAAAAATAAAATAAAATTGGAAGCTTTTTGAAATGAGTGTTTTTTTTTTTTTAAAACCTGGCACTTTTGTTTGTATTATATTCTTTTTCTGTGTTTTGGAGGGGAAAGGGATCTTTACATGACATGAGATGTTACATAGACATTCGAAAGAATGGAACATTTGACTCTCACGACACACATTAATTAACTTTCACAATTTAAACAGAATAAGATAGTTTTGTCATGATCAAACAAATAATTAAATATTTAGAGACAGTAGTGCACGCATCCCAGAATAGACAAGAGGCATAAAAGATAGAATCTGTTTGTGACAGACACCATATGATATGTGTAATAACAAAATAATAATAATAATAATAATATGATATATTGTGAATTTATAGGATACCTGCAGCGACAAGAAGTAACCAGTCCCAATATGCCCCCAACATTTGTATTGGTCTGTGCACTCTGGTCGGCAAAACCTACTATCACCTTATTATGCAGATTACTATTTCATCATATTTTTTATTCAATGCTCATTCTGTGCACCTTCGGTTTCCAATTCTGTTCATCACTAAAACCATGTGTATGCAACAATGAAACCTCCCTCTCATCATAATAACTTCGTTTTCTTCCTATTTTATTAATATGGATATTGTTAATCATTGTTATATTATGTTCACAATTGTTATCTTATTATATATCCTAATTTTACCATGATAGTGTTTTAATATTTATATTTTGTGGTTGATATAAACAGTGAAAGTAGAAGAGGGGTGCAGTGTTAAGCTGAGGTTTAGGTTTGAACGTTGACATGCATTCTGTTCATGAGAGTGTGTTGGCCTAGGCCAGTGTGAGAACAGTGCAACTACTCTTCATTCAAACTTCAAAACAATACCATGTCAGAGGAATGAGAACAAGACCCTAACATAAAAGACTATATTTTTTTTTTAATTAAGAATAAGTAATCAATTTTTAAAACTATAAAAATAAAATCAAGTTAAAAAAAATCCTTAATTAATTAAAAATACATTATATATTCCACAGCACCATGGGAAAGAGAACACATGTTTGGTTGTAGCTATAGCTAGGGACACATGGTGTGTCTTACTATAAAACTGGCTTCATAGATGATAAGGTATGAGCTATAGCTGCACACAATTAGTGTATTATTGTTGCTATTTTCTAATATGATATTTCCTTTATTAATTAAAAATGATTAAATATGACAAAATTATGAGAATGACTTATTATATATAAGATGTGAGTATAAAAAAGTTCAAATTTTTAATATCTAAATAATAGTCTTGTACACAATTTGGTGGTGGTCATTGGTCATGGCAAGGGAAATGTTTGTGACAGTTTACACCATAAATCTAGGCTTTAGTTATTCATCTCTCTATCTATCTATCACTCGATAGCGTGCGTGCATGGCTGTAACATTCAGGACCACTCTCTTCTGCTCCCTCTACATCTATCTTTCTCGTTTTCCTTTTCTTTTTCTTTCTTCACATATCAAAGTTCCAAGTCCCAAATGCATACTCAATTTCCCTGTTACATTCTCTCTGATATGAACACTCATGTTGCACATGCATGCTATGACCCTATGACTCGCTTCTTGCAACACTGTGTTACACAATACCTTATCCTTTTATATAGGAAATGACATTGTTACTATTCACATTCAGACCTCATGATGTGCGTCTCCACGTGCACATTGCCAAAGTAATTAATGTATGTTTAGCACGTTTGGATTCAAAAAATCAAGGAACAAAAAGCTTACTTGCAATGCCCTTATGGTTTCATGGTTTCAACTTCACTCTGTAACAGTAATATATACAGTTCAAAAACATCTACCTCTTGTTTCGTAGAAGCTTGAAACTCTTGATCATAATTGTAGAATACAATGTTTCTATACAGACTACACTAGAAGACACGAGACTCTTATTTGTGTTATTTTTGGTCTTTCATATTTGATTAAACTCACTTATACTTATATTGGAGTAATTAAACCCTAAATCCTAAAGTTTTATCTCTAAATTTTACACTATTTCAAACTTATTTATTTTATCTCAGTAAAAACTTAAGATGGAAGGAGAATTTGTATGATTTTTAATTAGATCTTGCATGATTTATTACTAGATCTTGCATGATTTTATTAAGGAAATAACACTGAGTAAATACAATAATCTGCTTAATCATTCTCTTCTTCTTAATTTTTGAACACTCATTTTCTTCTTTATCTTCTCAAAGTACTCTTAAACAGATATAATCTAATAGAAGAAAAATGCTCAAAAATCACAAATGGATCATAATGATTATATTATCGGTGCTTGTTATAACTGAAAAATGCTTAAGAAACTCATGTGGTTGTTGTTTCTATTGAAAAAAAAAATGAAACCCTAAAAAATATATGATACTTTTTTTTACGTAAAATAGTTTATTTTAATTCAAAAAATGTGATAATCTTTTTGTTATGTCAAATTTTTACTAATTCAATAAAAAAATTAACGTAAAATATACACTTTACATTGAATCATTAAAATTGAATTTAGAAAATTAATACAATATGTTTATATATAAATATTCTCATATTTACGCATAATCAGAGGCTGCTAATGTATAGAACTTGAGAAATACATGAAGAACTTTTTTCTTGCAAAATGATTGGAATTTAAGTTAAGAATGGATTCGTTGGTGAAGGTACGTACAATAGATGGCGTACAAAGAGAAGCATGTGAAAGTTGAAAAGTGGGTATCACAATTAATGATTTGGTAAATATACGACTGTTTTCTTATGAACATTCATTATTTTCAATTATGATATCTGCACTTTTCAATTTCACACGCATGGCTTCACATGTTGAGTCTTAAATAATGGATGCATGCGTGAAAGACTTCTTCTTCATTTTCTACTTCTACTTCTGCATGCAGTATACATCTACATTGCTAATCAAATTCAAAATAATAGTGCTTCCAATCTTGTGCATTGAGAAAAAAAATAAAAATATGTATCCATAACTATTTTTCAACTTGGCTCAAATTAGTCAATTTTCTTTTAAAGTGATTTTCAGATCAAAAATGACTTAGGTGAAGAACACGTGTATAAACCTGTTAAAATCTCGTTTTCTCATAGGGGTTAAAAATTATTAAGATCTTTCATTAAATATTTTTAGCTTTTTTAAAATATGAAATATCTAATAAGTTTATAATAGAGTATAAATATTTTATCTTTACTCATTATTATATCTTTAGGGTTCTTAATATTATAAAAGTCTTATAGAGTTCCATATATACCATACCATCTAGTTACATCTTATAAATTCTACGAAAAAATAATAATAATAATTTTTATTTTGATAATAATATATTATAATTTTTTTTCTTATTATTATTATTATTGACTTAGATATCAAAGTATCTTTACAAGTGTTTATTTTTCTTCGGTCATAATCCAAACATTTTCCAGTTTCGAAAACGTGTTGAATCCCATAAGTGATGTTTAATCTAAAATACTTAATTAAAACTCAGAAACTAGTGTCCTATTTTATAGCAACATTAATCAAAACATTTTCATGAACAAGTTTAAATTAATTACTCAAATGTCACCTTCACCAAGTGCATCCTTTCCTTTTTCCCAGCATTATTTAAAACAATGCATATTATCTCTCACTCTCCCACGATGATCAAAACTCATATAAGTTCTCTAATTGAAGTTTTTTTTTTTATGTCGAAATTTGAGAAGACATATATAGAAGAAGACAGTGATGATTTTAACCATTGATTTTAGGGAGTAAATAATATATTATTAATAAATAATAAATAAATATAAAAGGAAGAAAGAAGATAAAAATGTGAAAGAATAAAATTGTAGATATATACTTAAATATATTAAATGATCATTAAGTTTGAGGAAACAAAATCATAAATTATATGAAAGTTACAAAGCTGAGAAGAGATCGAGATGATAGAATTACAAATATAGAAGTAAATATATTAAATATTCATTAAGTGTAAGAGAGACTAAAATAATAAATTATATAGAAGTTAAAAAACTTTGACTGTCTCGACTCTCAAGAAGATCGGCACTTATTGAAGAAGTATTTTGAAAAGAGATAACATTGAAGTAGAAGTTTGTAGATGGATAAGAGGAGTGGGGGAAGCACTATACGCATAGGTTTGAAAAAATAATGTAACAATATAGAGTGTATAGCATGGTTAGGGTAGGTTTAAGAAATATACAAGTTAAATTTGTGTACAAAAAAGGGGACACAATAAAACATTTTTAGGGAAAGGGGTTTTTGTGTTGACCAACATCCCATGCATGCTTTCTTTCCTCCTTTCTATTTCCAAGACAGCACGAGTGAGTTTTCAATATTATTAGTTTAAATCAAATCTCAGAATAATTAATATGTAATTATTAACAATAAGATGATGATCATGTTCCATGTCTTCCGAAAAGACAATTTTCCGAGTTAATTAATCATAGTATTGTTGATAATTAATTTAATTAACATATCTTCCCTTTTTTTTTTCATGTGTCCGTGTCTTTGGAAAACCTCAAAATCATAAAATCTATGCTCTGCAATTAATGATAATAGTTTATTGCTCCTTAATTCCTTCATAATATTCCTTTGAATTTCATGTGGTCCCGTTGGAACTTATGCGTACCCAACTCTTAATTATTAGTGGTTCGAATCACAATCAACCATGTGGCGGTAGATTTTCAAAAGATATGCTGTAAATTCACAAATATTCCAATATGATTCACAAAACAATGTTATGGACTTAGAACTTTGATCAATGATTTGTTCTTTTATAAAAAGAAAATTGTTGAAAAAGAGACCAATCTCATTAATGAATCTCAAGTAAATTAGTCGCTATCTTTCAACCAAAAGATGCGAGTGAAACAAAAAATTATAATATCAAATATTCCCATTGGTTGTACCTGAGAAAAATTTTCAAGTTTAAATATATTATATACTAATTATATCAAATAAGGACTACTTAATTATATCTTTGGGAGGAAAAATTATTTAGAATAATTTAACTAAAAGTTTATATCAATTCTATTATGAATATATATTTAGATAAACCTTTTCATAAATACTTTTAGGATAGAAAAAAAGTTCTTATAAATTAATTTTAATTTATAAAAATATTTATGATTGAAAAACTCATCCAAATATAAAAGAAAATAATACGTAGTTATGTTGATGGAACTTGTAAATTTTAAAACATTGCAAACCACTATACTGAATTGCTTGACCGAATAATTAATATTAATTAGTGAAAACTTTATTTAGTGAGAAAATTAATACTACTTTAAAATTTAAAGGATTAATAATAAATTTTTAACTGGATGATAGGGCTGCCCCAAGATAAGGCCATAGTTTTAGGCCTCTCAAAAATAATTTACCTTTTTTTTTACAGAAAAAAAAACTAAGTAATAGTTACTTGATAAATAATAAGAAATTTAAAAATTATGTAATTGCATAAATTTTAATAGTTAATTTTTAAATTAGCTACTTGATTTTTTGTTTTACTTTTTAAAGTGAATCCCTCTTTTGGATCTGGATAATAATGTGATTATTTATAATTTTTTTTAATTTTCAAGCTGCAATTACATGTTAAAACCTAAAAAATTTAAATATCTATCAATAAATTATTTACATCCAAAAAATCGAAAGAAAAACTGTAAAGAAAATAGTTTTTTTTTCTACTAAACATTACTAAACAAAAATTTTAATTAATAAAAAATTAGTAGTTGTTGGTTGAATCAAACCTAACCTTTTTCTTCAATCCCTTCATTACCTGAAATTAAAAAAAAAAAAAAAAAAAAAAAAAAATATATATATATATATATATATATATATATATATATATATATAAAGCAAATACATGTTTTTGAAATTAAAGATCTCATCTTTACTCCTCTCAAGAATTAAAAGGCATAACTTTTCTTGTCTAGCTATTAAAAATTGGAATAAATGTCGAATCTTTATGTTGAGCAAGAGAGTAAGAAAAAAAAGATTAGGAGTGTTGCTGAGACTTAAAATCTTGGAAGAGAGAATGCAGAGTTTGAATGGGTATATATGATTGAGAGGCACTGTTCACACAAAGTTGTGACATCATCTTCTTCCTCTCTCTTTAGACCCCAAAATGAGATCACTGTTCTTGAGAGAGACATTCACTCCACCAGGCATGCATGCATCAAGCATCATTCAGGGCTCATCAACACCACACCAAAGAACCAAAATACACACCTACTTCATAACACTTTCTTTATGCATTATTAACTACACATTAATCCTTTTCAAGACAGGAAAATCATTATATATTGAACATAGTTTCTCTCTCAAAAAAAAAAAAAAAGAAAAAAAAAGTACAATCAAAATGCTTCACCACATAAAGTTTGTTGTGTTGATTTGATTCAGAATATAAACAATGACATATTTAAAACACAACATGTCCCCAGAAACATCCTTATACCACCCTTCAGGCATATAATAAATATTATTATTGAGTCTGTCTATGAATGAATATTAATGAAATTTGTATATATGGTCAATTAATTAGAAACTAAGATATGTAAAATTTTTAAGATAATATAAAAAGTCAGCAAATTTATTATACTTAATGTTCATCTATATTTTATTTTATAATAAGTCTTAACAAAATCAAAGAAAAGAAAAGCTATTGACGATTTTCTGTTCAGCATAAATATGATGCTGTGAACAGGTTTTTAGTTGTTCACAGGTCACAAGGAATGTAGTTAAATAGCAACATTGTTGTATTTTTACTTGACATTAAAAACAACAAAAGAAACATGATGAGGAAAGGGTGTAGAAAAGGTTAGATAAACAATCACCATCAAGAGTGAAGAAGAAGGGTTGAGCTAAATACTATACAGACACATTATGATGCATTAATTTTTCCTTCAGTTTCTTCAATGGCTCTCTGAAATGATGGGAAAGAAAAATGATAAATGAAGGGACAACAGATTGGAGTGTCATTACTGCTCCCTCTCAACAATCCAAAAATGGAGTCATTTTCATTCGGTGGCTTGGGACAGACCACAGTTAACCTCTTTTGAGACCATAATTGCTACCTTGTCACTTTGTGTTCAATCTTCCAAATGTTTTCGGGAGCTGCAATACACATATACACTTTTTATTACACACTTTCTCAATGTTACAGTAATGAAAATATGATTTCCAATTTAAAAAACAAGACTTTTTTTAAATTTAAAAAACAAGACTTTTTTTAAATTTTACTTTCAGCAGTTGTCAATTATTTGTTGATTGACAAGCAATGACGTTTAACCGTTCTTAAATTTGTGAAACAATCATAAGCCTGGTTTATTTTATGTTCTTAAGAATTCAGTAGTGGGGATAAAGATGCTTAAAATTTTAAAATAACATCATGCCATACCATAGAACTAACAAAAAATAAAGTAACTCCGCCATCACCATCCCAAATTTTTAATATTTTTTAAAATTTTATATAAGAATATTTTATTACCTCTTTATTAACAAAAATTATATCCATCCCCTCTTCTTCTAACTTCTGCTCTTTCTATCCTTAAACATATTTTTGGAAATGCAGTGTATCTTCCATAAACAAAAGTCATAACGAAGTATTTTGTGTTGAAATTTAAACTCGAATTCTGAGTTTTAGTTCTCTTTAACAAAAACCCAATTTCTATAAATATGCTTAAGTTGTTTTAGAGAGACACTCTAGAGATATGTTTTAAAAAGAAACCTTTTTCGAAGATAATTTTATGAGCAATGAATTAACTCAGCCGTTAAAGAAACAATCACTTCACACCCATATTAATATAATAATATATAATAAGAGAAATAACAATTGAAAATAAAAACAAATGATCACCATTTGTTTATATGATTAAATATACTAGAACCAATGGTCTCATGCCATTGACGTAAGATGTAACCAAAGGGTATTACTGTTGAAGAAAAACAATCAAATTATATATGTAAAACGTTACAATATAGAACAACTGGAAAATTAGGCCACTGGAACAGTAGGCACTATACCAGCTAAGTATAGATATGGGCCAAGGAATGGCATTTCAAACTATGCTACTGCTCCTCAAACAATTAATTTGGAGCCAGACAAAAATGGACTTGAAATTTTGGCATTTAGTAGTACAGTTATGGTATCAAAATTTGGCATGACCTCCCAGCATGTGGGGGCCATGTGGAGTTCAGATGCTGAAGAACATGGCTGCTACATCATATCTCCAGCTTCTGAATTAGGTCATGGCATCCGGTTCCCATCTTCACAGGCAAACCAAGACAAATTCTGGAAGATGGTGTCTCCAAGTTGTCCACCTGCCCATGATAAGCTGCTTCAACAATAAATTTGGAAGCTGTCTCAAAGCACATTTTGATGAAAGGGGATGTGCAGTCTGCTATGCTCCCGGTTCTGTTCATTGGGCGATAGCCACCAGAGTGCGTCATAAAGTCAGCAATGAGTGTCAAGTGCCGGATATTTACCGATATCCCATAAGATTTGAAAACATTTTGAACTTCCCTGATGATGGTCTCCCTGGCTGCTTCCACCCCGTAAGTTCTTAGCATAGCATCCACGTTGTTTGAATAAATGTACCTAACATCAAGATCATCATGCAACTCCCAGAATGTTTTAAAATGTACCCCTGATGTCTGCAGTGCCGGTATTGTTTCTTTCACAGAAGCTGGAATATCATCCCTATTTCGGCCAGCTTCACCATAGTAGATCACTCCACTTTCTTTACATGTAACAGCTTTACATTCACCAACCTTTCCAAAATTTTGAATGCAAACCTTCTTGGCCGTTCTCTGAGCGATCTGCATATAGTTAATTTTAAAACGGTTAAGTTCTAAAAACAAAATAGGGAAATGAAATATATATGCCCATAAGCAACAACAGCCATATTTGTTTCCTGACCATAGATCACCTCACAATTTCCTAGAGTTTAAATGATAAGAAAAAATATAGGAATGGCGACTATCACATCTATTTTCTTCAAAAAAATAAATAAATACTAGCGCATTTTTTTCGTCGCCAAGTTTTTCGAATGTAAAGTAACTATCTTTGAAAAACCATGTTATACAAAATTTTAAACTATTTCTATGTCTGACTCCTTGTCAGCATAGAGGCATACATGCTACGGTAGGAAAAAAATGACAAGAACATAAAACTAAACTAATTTCAGTGTGGTAGAAGGTACTGTGTTTCTAGGCATTTATAATGCCAAGAAGGTACCAGACCAGTGAAGAAGGATACTGTGCTTCTAGGCATTTATTATGCCCAAGAATATAAGAATAAACTATTTTTAGTTTTTTAAACAATAACACAACCTAAACTTCGATAGCAGTAAAGAAAGACGTCAACCCCAAAATTTAACAGCATATTAGACAGAAAAATGCTAAAAGTACCTGAGTTAACAAAATGTCAGGTTCACCGGTAAATTTAAAGTGGATCTCGAATTGCATCCCTTTAGCTTTCACAAAAACTGCCCTATCATATTTTTTTGTTATTGCTTCAAGTTTTTTCTTGTTTCGTTTCAAACTATTCTTTTCATCAATGGACTTGGACTTGGAGGGTTTTTCAAGTCCTTCAGAATTATTAGCATCAATTGTCATATTAATACCATTCTCATTAACATCCACATCACTGCCATCCTCATCATTTTCAATTTCCTCTGAGAGATCACCATCATGTGTTTCATCTTCAGGACCATCCTCATAATCAACCTCATCAGTACCTTGCCGTTTCCTCTTTTGTGCATCTGATCCAAGATCTTCATACCCTTCAGTGTCTTCAACAACACCATCTTCATCATCATTATCATTATTTTGACCTTTCCTTTCTGATTCTGATTCATTGCCATGAGCATCTTCTGAGCTGTTTGAATAATTAGATTGTGGATCTGTCTTGAATTTTTTTATGCCACTAATTTTAGAAAGCAATGTCATATGATTTTCAATGGCATCCTCCAACTCTCTCACAAAGACAACTCTTAAAGTGTCCTCCCAGTCTTCAATGGTAATATCAGTGTATTTTGGATACTGTTTAGGTTTATATAGCTTCATCACAAGTTTATATATACTGCAAACCTGACCACCAAAAACGGTTACTGGTACAACAGAAACTTTCATACTCTTAATTATGTCAGCTACAGTGATTTTCTTCAATTTGTCTGCAAGACAAATGGCATCTTCCCTGAAAATAACAACAGCATCAATAACCTACACATGTCAGTGTGCAGGAGGCAGTAAGCTTTCAAGAATAAAAAAAAAATGTACATACAAAACACAATAGACAAACAATGTATCTCACATAGATTTATTAGGTCTCAAGGGGCATGTCATAAACGGAGTTTTGATATCACGTGCAGCAGCCATCACAATTTCTTGCAAACGTGGAATTCCAAGTGTCACGTTCATTTCACCTCGACCAGCAAGGTGGAAAGTATTCAAACTGGAAAAAAAGAACCCACAAAAAACATAAATATAATACGTGTTAAGATATAATTAGTTTACCTCATCGGCAAGTCATTCCATAAACTCATTACACCCACATTGGAACCTTTACAAAGCTTTTATAGTGTTTCAAACAAAAAACCATTAAAGAAAGGAGCTGACTTCACAAATGACTTGCTTTGTCAAACAGTTATCCTTTTATCCTATGTTTCCAGTGCAGGTAAAGCTGTACAAAGGTATTCCAGTATTCAGCTTCCATATAGTGCTCACCTCAGAATTTCATCAACCACTTCCAACTTAACAATTAAAACTCATTTTGTGTGTTTGCTAAATATGGTTCAAGTAGTCATAAAACAATGGTTCTGCTAAAAAATTGAAGTAATCATATTGAAACATATTGTGCATAAAGGGCACCCCAAGGTCAGAACGCACTATATGCACATAATAAGGATCAAAGTCCATGACAATGTAAAACATCTTACGTCATCTGCGTTGCAGGTTCGCCAACAGATTGAGAAGCTAATACACCAACTGGTTCACCTGGTTGAGCAAGACAAGAGACATACTTATGCTCAATCAACTTTAAGAAATCTGCTCGTTTCAATGAACCAAGATTTCTCTGTTTTGAGAAGTCCCGAAAGAATTTTTCTGCTTTTGCTTTGAGAGCATAGGGCAATTTGTTAATATATGGACTGGATCTGTCTAGCTGCCGGCAACAGTTGCTAACCAATTCTTTATTCTGAAAACAAAAAATAGAGAAACATATAAACAAGCTACAATTTGTATGGATAATTTATGTTTTTTTCAAAATAATAAACATTTTATTACAGTTGACAGTGCTTCAAATTTGTTGATAAAGCTAGTTTGATGAACATCAACACCATCTTCTCCATAGTGAAACTGAATAATTGAACCATCAGCATCTCGGACAGTATGATCATAACAAACTTTAAGACACTCAAGGTTTTTCATTAGGCATCTTTGCAGGTACCCACTCCGAGATGTTTTGACTGCAGTATCAACTAACCTGTGGAGCAAAGAGGTCATTCGCTAAGATCATATGAGCAGTTTTTCAAGTTTGTCCAAGTATTATTACTCATGCGTAAATTATTGTGCAAAAATTGCAAATAACAACGATGGTGTAAATTAATAATCTAATCATCATTTCTTAAGAATCATATACACGCATTTGAAATTAGGATATCATTATATTTCTATATATTAAAAAAAAAAAAAGACAATAAAATGAAATTTCTTCTATCATTTAATCCAAAAGTAATTTGTATACCCTTCACGACCAGCCATGCAATGAAAGTAATATTCCTGTGGGTGAAGGGCTGTAAGAAACCGATCAATAATGAACCCTCCTGCTCTAGGGGAACAATCCCAGGGAGCAAAGCAGGGCAAGGTCTTTCCAGAAACCATGCGTGGTACTCGTTTGCCTTCTAACTCTTGCTGGCCCAGATGAGAAGATATCTGCTGAAAATTCACCTGTTTAAAAGTATATGAAATCAAATTTAAATTACTAGAAGTCATAAATATGATGCATAAATGATCGGTATTTAAACTAAATTTACAATCTTGTACACTCTTAATGAAAATGAACGACAGCTTGCAGGAAAAAAAAAAGGATAAAACTTCAAGCTATTCTTTTTATAATTTGGAATTCTGAGCATCAGCTACTTACTCTTCAATGGAATCTTTCAATAAAACACATAATAATGGTTTCACTCTAGTCATAATTAAAATTTGTGTAGCTCGATATTAATGGTTTCAATAAGACTTCATATGCACAAACTTTTAGGAACTCAAATGTATGTAGCACTAATGACACTTGTGCCGCACTTCTACTTATATTATCAACAAGTCTTGATTTTTCTATCAAGGCATATGCAGTATCTACAGTGCTCTTTCTCATAAAATAATACACTCAATCTAACAAAAGAGGGTGATGTGGACAAACATTTAGACAACAGGTTAGGGTATATGGAGAAGTTAGTTAAGATAGTTAAAATATTATTGAGTCAGTTAGTTACTTGAGACGTTTGTTAGATATAGAAAGGGAAAAAGGATAGAGACGGGTTCCTGATTTTATAGATTGTGCATTAGGTCTTTGTGACAAGAGCAATCCTTTGTAGAGGGAAAACCCTTGGAGGGGAGTGTGTTCTCGTATTTCTTGTTCCTTTCATTCTATTCAATAAAAATATTTCTTTTCTTTCATTTTTCAATTATTTCCTAACACAACAGTGCACTTACCATACTACCCTTAGCTCCAGATGTAGTCATAAGAGAAATACAGTTTTTTCCTGAAGGTTTCAATATTCCTTCAGATAGTAGCTCCTTTAATGTTCCTGAGCTTGTTCTTGAGTTAAGATTGCTTATCATCTTCCTATCCAAGTATGTTAGGGCTGCTTCTCCATTACTACGTATTTTTTTCTCAATATTCAACTGCATTGTGATTGGATCTGAAATGAAATGTATAGTAAAGCATTACAATTTTAGCACAGAAAAAACCAAAAGGGTAGAAGGGGAATTCCAAGTACCCATAAAAAGATAACTATCAAACATCCATAATATCTGTAAGAGAACAAGTTTCTTTTAGGTTTTTAGTATTGCATGAGCATGTATGTATGACAACCTGTCATAGCATGTTCCAGACACATCCTAATAGTTCCCATAACAAGGACATAAACTAACATAAAATGATTATTTTCACAGCTGATTTTGTCATGGAATAAAACAACTCCAACCAATGATGGTCATTCAGGACACATTTGAAAGATATGCTTCATTCCGAGTAGTCACCAAATACCAATATGCTTACAAATTTATATTGATAGTCAGACGCATGCACCCATCTCCATAGGTCCAGCGGTTACTTTTATTCATGGAACAATAGGTAAAACAAATACATTGAGGCAAATATTAGATAGTAACATTCTTCCAAGCTTAAAAATTAATCCAAAAAATAACCATGTCAAGGATGGCAATAAAAATTTCTTATCAACTCATTCTTGATCAGTTAAAAATTTTCTTAATTTGTAACTGAAGAGTATGAAAATAATAATTTAATTAAAAAAATTGAACTCAATTTGAGAGAATATACTCCAGGGAACACAAAAAGGTCCCTTAAGATTATACATACAGCATTTTTTTTTTAAAGAAACAGAAGTGCTATTGTTATAGTATGCGTATAGTTCGTTGTCAGCTGAGCAGAGTCGGTTACTGCCAGCTGTTCTTCTATTAACAGTTATAACAGAACTATAAACAGTTCTTGATCTGCTATAAAACCCAGATCTCTTAGTTAGAGATTCAGAAATTCAATAACAAACTTTTCAGTTCACTATCTTTTTCTCATTCTCTGAATTCTTCAAATACCGTGACATATATATACCCACGGTACAAGCCAAATCTTCTCAAGCTTTTCATCAAGATGCATTAAGTTCAGCTAGACAGTGGTACTCATTATGAAACTCAACTTTATCGCATCCCAAACTCACAAACTAACCTCCCCTTTGCATCCAGTTAATATTATAAAAAATATTGTTTGCCAATAACAGCATTGCAAGAAACTTTTATATAGCATCCCTAACAGACTAAGCTTTCAAGCATCAACAAAACAGCAACCCATCTGTCTATACTATAATTAAAACTAGTCCAATTCAGTCTATTTCAATTCAAAGATATTTATATTCGACTGCACATAAGAAACTAATGGCATGAAGAATTAAAAGAAACACATTCAGTGGTAATAATTCTGAAGACAGAAGCTACTTGTGCCTAAGGAATTTCACCAGACCAGGATTATGATAGTAAAGAGTTACAGTGGCAGTTTCTGTTTGCAGACATCATAAAGTCAAGGCATTCAACATACTATAGTATTAAATTCAGGGTAAAATATATTAAATATAGAACTAGCAATTCACAAATAAAAGCAATCTAAAAATATCATCATATCTGGAAATGGAATATTATTTTAGAATCTTTTGATTTGTATAAAATTATTATTTTATTTCAGTTACCTATATTATCACTAGTCATCACTCCAACGAATTCCTGATGAACAATGTCACCAATTTCCTCACAACTTCTGAGTTGATTCATTCTTTCAACATCCTTTTCTTCTGTTATCATAAGATCATCTACTCCACATGTGAAACCGTGCATCTGAAAGACACCAAACAAATCAGAATCACGAAAGAATGCAGGCTAAATAAGTACTGGCAAAAACATCAAAATAGTAAAACAAAGGAATTAGTAGGTAACCTGTAAAAAGGTGGTGAACAACCTACTTAAAGCTGAGAGTAGATTACCCGCAACATTCGATCCATAAAGTTCTTGCACAGTATGTATTATACCATAGTCACCAAATTGTGCCTTGTCAACCACACCACGTACCAAATCATTTTTATGTATCAATAATTTATCCTCATCCTCATCCTTCTTTTTTGAGTTATCAAGAGTGTATCTGGCCCCCTCCCTGACCTGAGTTTTGAAGAAACTTGACGGTATCTTGGCATTCTTCTCAACAGTAAATGGTGGTGAATCTCTGGTGATATAGTATAGTAATGCACTGATAACCTAGAAAAATAAGAAACCAAATTACTTAATAAAACCATTATAATGTTCAAAATAAAGAAAACTAGGAAAAGGTTCAAGACATAATGATTCCTTAGTTTAATAAATTATTATGAAATTATAGAAAGGATGAAAATGACTAACTGAAAAATCTTGTACTAGTTTATGTAAAAAGCAGTTTGTGAAAACATCAGAAGTGTGAAAGTCGTAAGTCTAAGGCTAAGAGATAGTAACCTGTTTTCCAGTCCACAGTGGTTTAGGCTTCCATATTGCTGGAGGAAACAAAAACATATCACTCTCGGAATTTGAGATGAAAACTTTCTGCCCTTCTTTGCCAAAGAATGAGCCTAGCTTAGCCATAGATACACCAGAACTGTAGAGAAGTTGATTGAACTCTTCATAACTTATAAAAGTATCCTTTTTTGTGAGGAGAGCAGCACTTACAATATGATCCTGGGAAAATAGTGCAAAATGGGAGAGAAAAAAAAAAAGTTAGAATCCCAACCAATAGAAACTTTGTAAATAATGTACCAGTAAATAATTAAGCAGATAGAAGGTCAGGCTGGCTCAGAAACAAAGTTGTCAGTGGTCATGAGTACAACTATGGGAACAACCTGACCCCACAATGGAGGCACCATTATGCCCTGGATATGGATCAGCCCTTTTTAAATAAATTTATGCAAATACCTGAATTAATGCTCTGATTGGATCCCCACTTGTAGGTTTCACATATTGATTGTTAGCATTAACAATATTGTAAGCTTCAGCCCGAGAAATTTCATCTTGCGGGAAATGCACGTTTATCTCATCACCATCAAAATCAGCATTATAAGTACTGAGATCATGAAGGAGAAAAAAAGAGAAACAAAAAGGAATTGACATTAGCAACAGTATGACAGATTGTCAGATATAGTCAAATGTATTGATCCATAACTTATTGCACAATCAAACCAAGCTCAAACTAAAACTATATATTACCTGCAGTTTGCATAGTGCATCCGTACAGTTTTCTCCCCCTTCAGAACGCGAACTATATGAGCCATTATACTAGGTTTATGGAGTGTTGGCTGCAACAGAATATAAAGTTCAATTCACATCAGAATATCAATAAATTGGTCATGCTGTTCATATTACACATTTCTCAATATTATCTTCACAACAAAACATGTTGTAGTATACAGGACAAAGTTATGCAAGCAATACTATCAATGCCAATTTAAGAAAAAAACAGAACTATAACTAAAATCACACATGTTCAAGAACCACATCAACTTGAAAATTTCCAAGAGTAGATGAGAACAATCAAACAGCATACACCCAGCATTCTGGTGTCATACTAGATTTTATGTTTTTTTTTTTACCTAAAAAATAATTAATGGAATCAAAGACAGTTCCACAATGAATATATTGCATTATTTCTATAAAACATCTGATGAGAGAATGCATTACCTGTCGATTGACAAGAACAACATCACCATCCCTCAAGTGGCGATACACAACTTTCCGTTCAAATTCCTGGTCAGATATCTTCCCGTGATCCAAAATAACCCCTTTTGATGATGGCAATTTCCTTGATATCAAAGAAAGTAACTTTCCTTTTGGTGGAAGCTTGACTATTGCTTGTTTATCAGCATAGTGTGTAGCACCGGGATGGGATTCAGGACCATTAAGGATAGCATTTCTTAACTTCATGACATTCCAAGGAGTCACTCTCTGAAAGGAATTAACACAAAAATCAATGGAAGGAAAAGAAAAGAGATATGAATATATTAACATAAAGGCCAATAAGATCATTGCAATGCCCCAGTATAATAATCAGTTATCAGCATGTTATTGTTTGGAGTAATCAATAAATTTTGAACATATCACTTCATTCTAGAGAAATTTATCATTCCATATTTCTGGTGCTCTGGTAAGAAAAATGACGCTAAAGTTTTGTTCCAGGCTTGCAGCAGATAAATTATGATCCAGTTATACACTGACAGTTCAAAATGGTTTTACACTATCATCCTATCACAAGCCACTATCTTAAAAGTCATAACAATGGTGATGGGATGATTGAGTTAAACTGCTTTACTTTTCCGTGCATGATTAAATAAACCCTTGTACTTATAGCAGAACAGTTACTTTTCAGAATCAATTTTTTATCTTCTTTAAATTAAGACGGTCTGCCTGTCTAAGATCAGTAGATTCATATATCATAAGCAGAAATGAAGTAAAGAAAAATACAATACCAAAATATTCTGAGATGCAGCTCATACATCAGTTAAATGAATTCATCAAGAATTGGTATTTGTAATGTAGCCTCTATTTATTTATTTTACTATTTATCAAGAAAAAATCCTACTTAATCTATTAATAATCTATACAAATTTTCTGTGTAAGCTAAGCACTACTAACTCGAGCAATATCAATGAAGCTACTCCATCCTATCTCCCTCCAAATTCAACAAGAACACTTCATCAGTGTATCCAGTATACATGTTGTGATCTATACACTTTTCGATAAACTGAATAAACATCACATATTGTATAACAGTACAAAAGAAACAAAAGAAAATATTAAATATGGACATTAAATGATACACAGTTACAACCCTCACCTCAGGATATGATAATTTTAAAGCAAAATATGGGGGTATCCCAATTTCATTGACTGCTAAATAAGGATCTGGAGATATGACAGAGCGGCATGCAAAATTAACCCTCTTTCCCATCATTTTCTGGCGAAAGATGCCTTCCTTCTTCTCTAGCAATTGACAAATGCCAGTGGCCACATCTCTCTGGCCTAGACCAAGCAAGAAGAAAAGATAAGTCTATGCATGAATCATTAACATTATTCCATTTTTGCAATGATTGATTTCTGTGTCATCATTGTAAACTTCATTCATTGAAACACAAAAAAGGATCATCTTAAGAAAAAATTATCCCAAATTAAAACTGATAAGATTAATTTTCTTTTTATTTTCTGCATTTGCTTTATTATCTATTAATATTAATATTGGTCAATTTTTTATTGACAAATTACAAACAACCCAGAGGCAGGCAGTTCCGTGTTACCATTCAAATTTTGAATAGGCTAAAGAAACTGAAACAAAGAAACTCTCACCAGAAGCAGTCTTATTGTCGAATAGCACATTAACAGATTGCTGAAGATCCATCCACCGGCTCAGAACTTTGGAGGGATCTAACTTATTTATATGGGCATCTCCCAAGGATATGTTGCATTGTAAAACCTTAGTCAACAAAACAGTTTGAGGATGTTCCATTACCTACATAATAAGCATTGACTACTTGTTAGGACTAGTATAGGATAAAATAATGGCCCAACTTCAACAATATAAATAAAATAAAATAGCTACAATTTTTTCACCAAAGACCAACAGTATGAAGATAATCTAGAAAAGGAAAAAAACCCTTAAAAGAATAGCAACCAAAATAAATTATTGAGGATGTAAAGGAACAGAATGAATAAAATTTAAATGATTCAAAAACTGAAACATTTCCCAGCCATTCACATCCTGGACTTGCATTCATGTCACCAGAGGCCAACTGATGAGGACAAAACAAAAAGAAAGAACAAAAAGTAATACATAAACATCCTAAACAAATAAATATCCATAAAAACTCATCTTCACAAAATAGGAGAGCATCTACATGTGTCATATATTACCTCATGAAACAATAATCAGAATAAAAAATCACATAATTAAGTTTATTCTAAATAATATGATAAAATAAATTTATATATTCTTGTTAACAGTATCTCTTAATCATACTTACATCATCACCTCCTTTAGTTGGGGGACGGAATTTGATTGGTGGCACAAAAATATTCTCTAGAAAGAACATTGAGTGGCCAGCTTTCTTTCCAAACCCCTGATCTTGAATATCACTAATGTAAGAGCAGAGCCTGGCCTCATTTTCCCACAAAAGCTCTAAAATATCTTTAACCTGTAATTTGAAAAGAATTAAATCCCACAGACATTTTCAAACACCATCTACTAAACATGTCATTAACAACAGACAATTTTCTTTCAAAATAGAATAGATCATAAAAGACAGTCATTAGGCCAATATTTGCATGAAACTAACCTGTGATGGTAACAAAGACCCAGAAAGTTTATTTTGTGCAGCGAGCTTGTTAGACAATTTCCCTTTTTTTCTTTTATCTCTTTTGGCATTCTCAACAGATGTAATATCTTCTTCATCTGTAGTCTCCCCACCACCTAAGGACATATCATTGGTTGTTGCACTTTCCATTGCCCTGATGATATTTGCTCTAGTGTCATCAGCAGAGAGAGCATTCTAGAATCATCACCAGAAACCCATAAGGCAGAATGAAAAGTAAGAATCAGACAATGCAGCTAGAAATACCTACTAGCATGGACCTATGGAACATAATCTTTTTGTGGACATGAGCATAAACATAAATACTTCAAATGAAAAAATGCAATATCCACAATACAGATATGGACTTTATGGTATTCAAAATTAAAACTTATCCAAGTCATCATCCATATTCCAAAAAGAAAAGGAAAAAAAAAATCAAATTGACAGTACAATTTATTTCTTTTCATATTAGAAAATTGAAAGCCTAGGAAGAAACAAAAGCAAGAAGTGCAAGAGCATGAATTAAGCACATTTCACATAATTGTAATTTGTAAACATAATGCTCAAGAATGGTAGAACGTGGCTTGTCAAACCCAGCTATAGGGCAGGGCAAAGTATTGTAAAGATGTAGCTTACTATTAATAACAATGCTTGGTAATAAATAGTCATCTGTTGAACTCTAAGGTACCATAGTTATTGTGGAATGATACACAAGGGCTTCGAGAACAGGGCATACCTAATATATATGTCCATTAAGGTTACAGTCACAGCCAACCCAACCCACCCCCTCTACACAATAAATGTGTGTATATATATGTAAAAGAATATCATTATATATAAAATATAATATATAATATTAAAATATCATAAAAGTACTATTACATCTAAAGAATGTGGACAAATGTCAAAGCACGTTACTTGGAGCTAGCATAGGCACAAAATATTTTTATCATTACAATAATTTAAATAAATTTCTGAAAATAAACAAAGTAACAAGAAACAATGAATTTACCATATAAAACCATCCATAGGTTGGTTTACTGATTTTAGGATTCAAGGCTCCACAATTTTGACACTTCCTATATTTTCGTAACAGAAATTTCCTTAGTACAGACATTGCCTCACTAAACTGAAGGGAGGTCCAATTTTCTCCCAGTTGCTCAGCCTTACAACCCTGGCTCTCATCACCATCACTTGGATGTATGGATTCATCTGAATTAATAGAATCCAAACTTTTGGCCCTGATGACATCCCCTTTCATAATGAGCTCTAATTGGGACGCACGCATATCCACCTTGCATCAAGGTAAGAATAAACAAAAAATAGCCAATAAATACATAAATATCTTACAAAAAACAGAAGTATAGTGACTAACACATAATATTACCACATCTGCAAACGAACAAAAAGTTACCTCTTGTCTGCTAGCTTGAAAATGATGGCAAGAGAAACAAGTTCTCTGTATAATATTGCTAAGAATATTGAACATCAAAGGGTTGTAGATAGGGGAAACAAGCTCAATATGACCAAAATGACCCGGGCAATTTTTAGAAGTTTGACCACATGACTTACAACTGCATCAAGCAAAAAGGAATGTCTCAGTCACCCACCTTAATTCAAGCCATCAAACATAAGTACAACTTAAAGTAAACATCTTTGGATATCAGAACATGATTTACTACTCTATACAACTTACCTCCACCCAACCATGTCAAATAAATTATATAACCAGAGGCCAAAAAGACATAAAATGTCAATCAAACTCCTCATTCATAACCATGTCTGTTTGGATTAATTTCCAAAAATTCCTTACAACGTTACAGGCGCTTTGGCAGAAACGTGGAAGAGCTTCAGAAAATGTCAAGCAGCATAAGTAGGTTTTTAGCTTATATAACAAGTTAATCCATTTAACATCTTAATTCATTTCATTTTATTTTATTCTCGTATGAGTACTTATTGATAAGTTTATCCAGACTAAATTAAGTAGTTAAACCTAATAACATCTTTCAAGTCCCCAGTTATAAGCTCAAGGTTTCTCAAAACACCAACATGAAAAAAAAAAAAAAAAAAAAAAATATATATATATATATATATATATATATATATATATATATATATATATATTTAAGACATAAAACTTCAGTAAGAAACTAAAATAAACTTCTTACAAAAGACAACAAGAATGAGTTGTAAATTAAAATCAATCTATACACCTCAATTTTTGTTAAAATTAAATGAGAGAAAAGTTCTACAAAATATTCATTCAACAATCTTAATTTCGCCTCCTACAAGTATTTATGAAAAAGTTTATACAAACAAGGTTTGAATAAATAACAATTAATATTTCGATATCCACCCTAAAAGTCTATAGCAATGGCCCGTTTGGATACAGCCTATTCCGCCTTCGTTTTAGATAAAATTTTCCATTAGTCAGTTTTTTCATAAACTCAAGTTAACTTTATGCATATAGAACCCGTTTGGATACAAGGTTATATGAGCTCTTTAGAACATCGATATTGAAAAATAGCTCTATATATCCAATAGAGAAACTTTCAAAAGCTCTACGGTTGTTTCGAAAAATATCCAAAGTTGAAATTAAACTTTTGGAAAAAAAGTTAATATAATAGAACTTCTACAAACTAGCATTTGAGCGGAGAAATTAATTCCATTTTTACTTTTCATTTTACTCTTATTCTCCTAAAGAGACATTTATCAAAACAAGCGCTTAAACAATTTCCCTTCGAGATCTAACGTTTGTCAAATGTTATAGTGAAAATCGATGAATTGACGTACAGAGACTTGTCATCGAGCGGGCCCAAAGCGGCGTCGTATAGTCCACCAGGCACGGGATGTTGCAAAGAATTGAGCAGAATAGGACTTGTTATCTTTATGCGACTGCTCTGCCGTACCTCTTCGTCCGTTAGAAAACTAAACGCTACCGCCTTAACGGAATTCGTCGCCTCCTGCAAGGTCAAGGCGTAAGACAAATTTAACGGAGGAAGGGGAAGAAGAAATACATTGTAAGCGAGAATGATGTTAAGTTGGCGAGAGGATTGTTACCTCGGTGGAGAGAACCATTGTGCCGCCGTCAAAGCAGGTTCCCTCAAGGGTTCAACGGAGAGAGAACGCAAGGAAGAAGAAGAAGAAGAAGAGAGAGAGAGAGAGTGAGTGAGAGAGACAACAAAATAGGTTTTTGAGAGGTTTTAGGAATCTGGGTTTTAATCAAATTCAATCTCATATTTTTATATCAGAATAAACAAATATTTTTAAAAAAGATAATTCTTTATTTCACATTTAGGGGATATTTTGTAAAAGAAAAAAAAATTATTAAAAATGTGAGGTTTTAAAATTTAAGTTTTTCACATTTCATTTATCTTTAAGCAAAAATGATTACGATAAACGAAAAATACTGTTAATAGTTTTTAGTTAAGTTTCGGATGAAAATATTTTCTCTTATCGAAATCTATTTTTTTAATAAAAAATGAAATTTATTAAAAGATATCATGTTAGTCTTACTAAATCAATTAATATGACAACCTATTAATAAATTTAGTAAAATTTATTAGAAACAATGATTGATTTTAAGAGGGACTATGAATTCAACTTTCAATATTTTTGTAATAAAATGACATATTTATTCTAAATCAAAATTTTATAATTGAATAAAATTGATTTATGTTAAGATAATGTTTAACTTGTTATCTTAAACAAATATTTAATTCAGATTTCAAAAGCAAGTATATAGAGATTTATAATCTTGATTTTAATTCATTAAAGTTTTCTGTAAATGCGAGAGTACTTAAAAATTAAAATCACTTTTTTAGGAGTAATTAGAATATTAAAAGCACAATTTTAATCTATTAAATATTATTCTTGCATTTTCATTAATTTAAATAACATTTTAATTTATTAAAATTATAGGTAATCCATTTTTCCCCGATTAACATTGAATTGTGATTTTCAGAGTGATTTTAAATAATATTCCAACTCTATACACGAAATCAATATAATATATCAAATCAAAATTGTTTGAAATATCAATTCATGTTTTTTTTATAAAAAAATAAAATACGAATAGTTATTACGAAAGTAATTGTAATTTTTAATTATGAATAACAAGTAAAAAATAATAATTATACGTTACTTAATATTGTGTCTAGATGGAAGTTTTTACAAGATAATTTATTTTACACAGAATTAAAAAGTAGCAGTTGTTTGGATATTAAATTTAAAATAGGTATATAAGAATTTATATAATAATTCAATTACTTAAAATTTAAAATGTTATATAAAAAGTAAAAAATTAAAAATTTCGGTACTTTCGCCTATCCTAAATCTATATCAATTAGATTTATTTTTCTTTTTCTTCCACTCAAGTAGAATATCATCTATATTTTTTTTAAGTCTCATAATTATTTTTCTTTGTTATTAATTAAGATTTTTTTATCAACGCCAGCAATATATTTTTTTATCAAAAATTAGTTAAGATTTATTATTCTAAGATCAATGACTAAGTTTTTTTTTTTAATGTCAACTGACATCAATAGATAAGTTAAAAAAAAAATTGGCAGAGACATTAAAAAAATAGTTATAATCCATGAGTAAAAATATTTATAATTAATATTAATTAAAAATAACACAAAAAATACATATATTTGACTTAATTAAACAATTTATATAATACCCGGAAACTAAATATGATGTTATAATGGACGAAAATCAACCATAAATTTTGTAAACTAGTGAGCAGAAAAAAAATTAGAATTAAACCTATAATTTTATCCTATTAAAGTTGAGAATTCAAACCCCATTTTTGTTTTTTGTTTTTTCAACTCAAAAAATCTTATGAATAATTTATAAGATATTTTTGTAAACACATCTAAATAATATAAATTCTTATAGCATAATACAAAAAGAACAAGTCATGGATAAGCTCTCCAAATGGAACTTTGTTTCATTTATCATTTTATTATTTAATGACAGATGCATTTGTCAAATTATAACTTATACTATCACTCTCACTACAATTCTTTTGGCAGGAAAGAAAACCATCCATGGATTAGTTAATCAAATGTTTGTAAATTATTTAGTAAACCTAGTTCATAAAAAGTGCATCAACAAAGGGTTTTCTATTAAACGAAAAAGCATCTAAGATTATTTAAGAAAACTGAGGAATCTTCTTGATCAGATAGAAAACATGAGAAGGGACCTAGTCCATTTAAAATCTCATGATATTGATACTCAAATTTCCAAAAAGTAAAGATGGAACCATGTGAATCATTCTGCCATAAAACTCGAAGAAGTTTTAGTATAGAAAATTATGGATTCTGTCTTCTTCAAAAGTAAAAATAAGTTACATAACTTCAATAAAAGTCAATTTCCTTTTTACCACAAACCTGTATTAGAATCTCTTCTACCATCACTCCTATTCACAATATTTAAATCCGAAACCTCAAATCCATTACCATTGGATTATCCATAAAAACTTGCTAGGGATGATGAAGATTATAAATGTATTGATGCATTTAGAAAAGATGTTGGACCATGCCTTATTTGCAAAAATGGTAGGATTTTATATGCTTCTCCCGTTATATATTTATGCTTTTCTTTTTAAGGAGGGAAAGTCCATTCGACTATTTCACTTTGTAATGAACAAAACGAAGAGGCAACTAATAGTCCATAGACAATTAGAAATTTGGAGGAGAACCAGAAATAACCACAACATAATAGTCCAATACCAAAAGTGTACAAGTGCACAAAAAAGTGCGATGTTAGGTAGGGTTTTGAAGGCCATTCCTATATATTTGCCTATACAAATGCATCCTAATTAATTTGAAAATAATGAGTAGTATATGCATTCATAGTACAGGAACTGAACACATTCGAGGTAGAATTTCAAAACAAACAAATAATGAGTTCCTAAACACACCTTAATGCAATTTTTCTGACAAACCGTGCAATTTTCAAGTTCAAGATGTGACCTCTGAAGAATTACCTATCTATGTATTGAATATTCAGGTAACTTGTGTGAACTAGTCTTGTTTGTTATCCCTAGACTCTAGCTCTTCCTTATTCCTGGACTTCGCAGGGGCAACCTTGGAAGGGGTTGAACGCTCAGCTTGTGAGAACTGAATCAAGACGTGCATGAGTAGAGTGACAACTCCCAAACCAATTGCTGAAAATGCAACACCCTTCCAGGAGGATAGTAGTGAAGACCATTGGAGAAACTTCAGGGCCCCCGTTACAACCACACAAGCCCAAGATATGACAACCTGTTCCCACAATGAAATTGAGAGTTTATCAGAAAAATTAGTACTCCCTCCTATCCCTTTTTTATTTTTTTTAAGATTTATTTCACTAATTCATCAGAAGTAAAGAAATTAGTAAATGTAGTTAGTAGTATTAGACTTGTCTATAATTCATATATTTTTCCAACATTAACCTTAAAATGAACAAAACATACTTCATTGTTTTTTAAACATTTTTTTTGTTTTAATTCTTCAAATTTTCATCATTAATGTTAAAGGAAATGGTAGAGACATATGAATGAAATCTTTGTGTATTATGCATAGCAAATGAATAAATATATATAGATATCATAATACAAAAAGAGATGGACTTGGACCCATATATTTAGTTATTTCCCTTGCATATAAATCATATATACCACATTTGTTACAAATATAATAATTATATGACCCCATTATCCTTTCAACCAAAGCTTAATATCAGAAGCCTACGTGTCATAATTATTTCAATCTAACTTGTCAAGAAAGAGAGACACATTGACATAATTAGTGAAAATATGAAGATCAAGTCTAATAAAAGTTGAAGAGGTCATAAACCGTAGAGGAGATAGAAAACAACAACAGGGGAGAGAAAATAAGAACCCAACAAAAGATGATGATTATGCAGCTATGCGATGGAACGTCATTACAACAAAGAAGAAGACCGGAAATTGGAATGAAAGACAATTTCTGGAAGACAACAAAAGAGACCTAACAAATGGATGATAATTATGCAGCTGCTGCGGAAGACGGCGGTGACAACAGTGAAACACTACAATGAAGAAGACCAGAAATCATAATGAAACATGATTTCCGAAAAGATTTTAGCACCAATGGATGTAATGAAACTCAATTTCTGAAAAGATTTTGGCACCAATGGATAGTGGGTCCACCAGGAAGACACAGGTTAGGGTTATGTTTTGATACTATATTAGAAATGGAGAGTTACTTCACTTAATCCTACAAAATTGGTTTGTAAGCTGAGATTTACACCTAAATTATATATTATTAGTTGATCATATATGAGATTTCTAACACACTGCCTTACGCCATGGAATAAACATCTCTAAAACGTAAAACTGAATATTAAGGACAGACCAATAACAAAAACTCTCGCTAGGATAGGCTATGATACCATGTTAAAGTAAATGGTAAAGAGACATATGAATAAAATATTCGTGTATATTATGTAGAACATAGGAAACAATATATATAGATATCATAATACAAAAAGAGATGAACTTGGGTCCATATATTTAGCTATTTCTAACAATTAATATATTTATTGTTTCAATTTTTATTAGCTATACATGTGAATATTAAAGTTTCCGAAATACTTTTTATACATGATAGTTAGACAACCAAAGAACTTAAGACGTTAATGCATCCCACTTATTATTTATTGAACTCAGAAAATACTTATAGTTAAGGGTATTTTTGTAAAGAGATGAACTTGGGTCCATATATTTAGCTATTTCTAACAATTAATATATTTATTGTTTCAATTTTTGTTGGCTATACATGTGAATGTTAAAGTTGCCAAAATACTTTTTATACATGATAGTTAGACAACCAAAGAACTTAAGACGTTAACACATCCCACTTATTATTTATTGAACTCAGAAAAATACTTGTAGTTAAGGGTATTTTTGTGAAAAAATATTAAAGCAAGAGACATTCTAGATTGAGTTATAAAAATGACTAACCTAGATTCTAATTTGGTTCTTATAAAAAGGTCAGAAGCGAGTACACTTTATGCAAATAGGGTGGTAAAACAAAGCTGATAAATAAAGAATATATGCAAGGTTAGACACATCGAGATAAAGTATATTACCACAAGAGACTTTATGGGTCGACCGGTATCCTGCAGCTCTTGATCACTAAATTTGTCCTCAGCTATATGTTTGTCTAACAATGCATCCTGGTGTCCCAGAGGAATGAGGAGTGAAAAAAGAGCAAAATTGTCCACAAGAATTAGAAGCTACAAAATATACCAAAACATTCTTGCAAATAAACACAATGGGAACTAACACGTATTAACATTATTATATAGTTTGCAATATAACAAACTTGGACAACTACAGAGTAGCCTACATGGTTCAATTAACAGTTAAAAAAAAATAAGTAACACACACCTTAGCAACAAATATATCTCGACACCATTGAGCAACAGCTTCATCTTCTGCTGGCAAATCCTTCATCAAATGTCGCTTAATATGCACATGCACCTAAGGTCGTAAATTTTTAGTTCAACGAGACATTCTATATAGAAAATATATATGATTATGAAGAAAAGATAAGAAACCCTCTTGATGAACAAAAACAACCTAAAGCAAAACATGTGTATATCATTTGGTCCCCAGGTAGCTACATAGAAAACTCTGAATCTTTAAAGGCTTCGTGATTCTTCAATGTAAAAACTAAAACATACGCACCAAATTGCTCAGGTGGCTACGTAGAAAACTAGGATCCTTAAGCAGCTCTGCTATTCTTCAACGTAAAAACCTAAGTACCAAATTGCTAAGTCAAAACTCTTTCTAAAAAACAACAAAATAGCCACCAAATTCCCCAGCAATACCATGGCTTTCCATAAATACAAACAAGCTTACTCCAAATCTTCAGGATAACAAAGTTTTGTGAAATAAGTTGATCAGGAGTCCCACAATGGTGGTAAAACAACAACCAACGCTGATCATACTGAGGGAGATAGTCAACATAGATCAATAAACACCATTGAGATCTGCTAAAAAGGTCTTTAATAGTTTCTTCTAAAGTCTCTTTAGTTTTCTTTCAATAGTTTTAATCATCCTATTTGATTCACTTTTCTTACTATAGTCTCTGTTGAACTTCACACACCATCAAACCAAAAACCGAAGAAAAAAAAAATGAAATCTTATTCCACACATGCTAAGAACAATATATTCTGGAAATCGCATACAATTTGGGGAAGAGAAAATGAATTCAATTCTATTCACATGCATTAGAATCCTAATCTTAATGTGCCTTCTTCATGGCTCCCATATTACCAAAGCATGCAGATTAAGCAGAAAGGTATTCATAAATCAAGACACACACATTGAGCAGGAAATGCACTCCTTTTCAGCCCCCTAACCCAATTCTTATTCATAGTCACATTAAATTAATTTCTGCGGTTAAAATTCCCTGCACATTAGTTACTTGTTGGATAATAGTGAAGACAATGAAATCAAAAGAAACATGACGAAAGTCTCATGTTTGATAGCTTTTGCTTCTATTTTAATCTCTCTAAATGTCTATTTTGATAGGCTCACCACTGAAGATTTTCCTCTGAAGAGTCTTAGCATTGTAGGAGCAGGTGAACTCTTCGGAATTGCCAATGTTACATCATAAATGGCAGGAACAAATGACCGCATATGGTTTACTGCTGAAACAAAACCCTGAAAGCATCATAGCCGAGTAAATACTAGAGCATACAGAAAAGAACAACAAAACCTAATATAATTCTTAGCACTATTGGGTCATATATCTGACATTGAATGTGTCAAGTAAACTTAGAAGACCAAAAAGCCAAAGCATGAAAGTAAAATGAAATGATGAAGTCAATATCTATTTTGAAATCACATTAAAATCATGTGAACTTACTGTAACAGGTATCTTAAACCATTTCAACACTTGTTGTTAGAACAAGTAATTCTAAGAATTAAAGAGTGAAAGTACAGCTATGAAGAGGATGTGATATCTTCCCAAACAGAAAAATCAAACACACAAATCAGAAAGGCAAAACACCAAAATGAAAAAAAAAAAAAAAAAAAAAAAAACCATCTCCATAACAAGGCAGGTTGACATTGCCAAGATTGCATGTTTCTCCAACAAAATACAAAGCAGAAAGATCTAGATTTTAAATTCAGTTGCATTGAAGGATACAGGTAGTTTGTTACTTGCATACATATTTTTAAAGATATAAATAGGTATTCATGAAAAAAAATGTTTAGAGTTTTTCATTATTTTTTAAAACTTAGCAACAAAATTTAAACCCAGCTTAGACAAGAATCATGCAGAACATCCTAACAGTGGAAAGAAAAAAGATAGGGAAAAAAGGCAAACAAAAAAATCAGGGAATATTTATATTCAACCTTGGTTCTTGGAATCAAAACATTTCTAGGAATAGGCAATCCAGCTGAGGTGGCATACTCCTGAGCAGCCAATAGTTTGGCCTGTGTAAAGCGAGTTCCTTCTACAAATAGTGCCAACCAAAAGGGAAGAGGGAAATCCCTAAGTTGCTGTAGGCCTGACTGCAAATACAATATTGCAAGACTCAAATGAGATTCACATTGGTATAACAGCTTATGCACTAAGAGAGAGAGAGGATGTAGACAGTGCAGGGTTTAGGCAGAAAATTTACAGTAACTTTACATCTTGGTGAATGAATGAGAAGACATTAATATAACATGTACAAATATGAATTATATTTGACTATCCCATACCTTTAGTGTGCTTTCATCCTTGGCCCAACTTCTCTCCAGGAAAAGATATTCAGAAAACCACATTGACCAACCAATAACCTGCACATTTGAACTTAGCTGATAGATCAACATTGACATAAATGATAATGTGATCAATGAAGCCAAAAAAAAAGGAAGTAAGGAGGTTCAAAAGCTTCCATGTCCAACCAGGCCTTAAGCAGACATAAATCATGTGATTACCAAACCAGCTAACAGAACATCCCATTATTATCAATATAGAGATACAATATATGGCCCAATTTCATAATTCATAGTCTAATTTCAAATCATTAAAACATAAGAATTGGAAAACAAGTACCATTCGACAAGTTCTAACATAACATACCGGTAGAAACTTAGAGGATTTCTTCATCACAGCAAGAGTGCTGCCAAGGCAACCTGAACGCTGAAGAATAATAATGTTCAGTAATCGTTCAATAGTTGAAGCAAAACCCAGATGAGTTAAGAAACACATTTAAAATCAAAGAATATCACATTTATGATGAAATAGACCTATACATATGCCCACTATGTGTCCTTTTGTTCTAGTAAGATAATATTATTTCACAATGACAAATGAAATATGCAACTCATTCCAATATATAAGTGAATTCTAGTATTAATTTTCTTGTGTTGAATGTGTGAAAGAGGTCATACTAAATAAGACAATCACCTGAGCTAAAACCCATCCAACAAGCCAATCAATGTCACTTCTGTGATTGGATATGACAAGAGCATGCTCTTTACCTGAAAAATTCTAAACAGAATCAGAATTCAAGTGATTTTGATTAAAAAATGCAGAGCCCACAATACTCCCTTTTCATTTCCAAAACAAATGCACAACAAAAGAAGAAAGAGAATGAAGAGGGGGGAGGTCGGAAAGCCTAAAGCACCAAATGCAAAGTACAAGAAACTTACCCATCAAACGAAAAGTTTCACTATCTGTGAATACTTGGACCTGAAGACAGAAAGTTCCAAATGAAAGATTTTATTATTCCAAATTCAACAATAAGAACAATTAAATTGCCGTAAATTCATATATGATGTCTTTTATATTACTATTTTTTTCTACTTAGATGAAACATCAATTTTACATAATTGTAATATGCTTCAAAGTAGTTAGTAGAAATTATAATATTAGAACACAAGACAGGGTGATCAAAAGCATTAAATAACAGAAGAGAAGAGATATCAAAAGGATAGAATTTCCCGATAATTTCTGAAGTCATGGCTAACAGCCGACTATAACCCAAAAAGTTCACAATCTCTAATTGTAGCCATTGCCACAATCACAATCATGGAAAAGTAGCAGTTATGTTTGTTCTGCTCCATTAAATTGCCCACATTAAAAAATAAACACCAGCTAGAGAGCAGCTTCATTTCAGTTGAAAATCCATATCTTACAAGCCAAGCATCAACTTTCACATTTACTTCACAGTTTGACCAGGTTCATTCCCCAATTAAACAACCTTCACTCAAATGAAGTTTACCCTATGTTCCATTGGAAGAAACAACGTACGAGAAAAACAAAAAGGAAAGAAAGAGAAATGAAATAAAATGAAAAGTGTATTAGTTTGATCGAGGAGAAAGTGACACCAAAAGGAAAAAAATTGTCATTTCAAAAAATAATAAACAAAAAAATTAAAATTACGTAATAGTACAACATCAAAGTTTTCTATACATTTGTTTTGGAGACAGAGGAGAGTGGTGATCTTGATAAATAATAGTTTTTCTTACACTTTTCACTATTTTCTTCTTATACATGACTAAAATAGTAAAGCATGAGACCCAGTGAAAAGTGATATTTTTTTCTTTATTACTTCCTTTGTTACCGATCAAGGGTCTAACTGTACAACCTTTCAAAATTCAAATAAGAAACAGGCTAGAAATATAAGTTAGTAAAAATAAATAATGCATGAATCACAATCCATCATTTATAATAACTCATACCAAAGATAACCTCGGATTAATTGACAGTATAAAAAATTTCACACTGCCATTGCATGCCTATCAAACTCATTCAGTACTCCAAAGCCACATCATCTAGCAGAGCAAGCATGTAGCACTAAACAACACTTTGCACCAGTGAACTATAAATCAAATCAACAACATTAACCAAGACAAGAGAAACTAAACCTTAACACCAGCCCACCAATCAATAATCCACACGAGTTCCAACCAGAGCAGTTCCGCCACCACCCGGTTCATCCGCCGGTACAAATTCTTCGACAGCGGCCGCACAACCACGTAGCATAGTGCCTGAGAGCATCACACCACCACTTTTCAACACCCAATAGTACCAATTAACGACAATTAATCGATAAATAACTAAAAGTCAGTGAAGAAAACTTTTTCTCGAGTGGAACAAAATGACGAGGGTTACAACAAGAAGGGGCGAATCGAAATCTCGAATAGTAACCGAAAATGCAAAAATAATATAACAAACATAAAAAAAGTGAAAAAGGGATCGGTTCATGCTGAAAGAATATGGATTTTAATTTTTTAGAAAGAAAATGAAGGTATAAGAAAAAATGAGGTGTGACCTGAATGAGGTTAACGATGAGGCCGGAGGCGAAGAAAAGGAGGCCCAGTGGGACGACAACAACTGCAGTCATAGCCAGCGGATTTCTGAAATTTGGATTGTCGATGATATTGATGATGTTGCTTCCTCTGTCGTCGATCTTGTTTCTGCTGAAGCTTGCTATGGCCACCTAGGTGCGTATATCCCACTGTGCCTTCTGATAACGTGTTCTCTATTTGTTACTTCATATTATTTTAATTCCAAACAAAACTACCACTTTCTTAATATCTCAATTGTACATAACCAATGTTACTATAACATGTTATAATAAATTATAATATGAAGAAATATATTTTTTATTATAAGACATTTTTGAATGAGATTAAAATTAATAATTGATTCATTTAAATTTATTGAATTATGAAAAAATCATTATATTTTTATTAATAATGATTTTAACTATATTTTTATTTTATGTTATAATTTAAATTTTTTAGTTTCAATTAATTTATTATTATTATTATTTTTCCAAATTTTTATTTCTTTAATGAGTATATAATTATTATATATATATATATATTTAAGCATAAAATGAAAATTTGTATTTATATTAATCAATTCTATAAATGTTTTAGCAGTAAAAATCTTTAAATAGATAATATTAATATTGATATCAGAATATTTTATGTACGTGTTGAATTGTTAATCTTGTTAGTCACGTGTCATTCAAATTTAATTATAAAAATTCACGCTAATCGTGAAAAACATATTTAAAAAAAATAATAATACACTTCATAAACTTATATAAAATATAGACTATGTAATTTAATTCAAAGTAATTTTAATTAACTTGCATTATATTTATTATTATAAACTTATCTAAGTAAATTTTCCATAGACAGTTTTTAGAGAGAAATATATATATATATATATATATATATATATATATATATATATATATATAAACTAATTTAAAAGAAATTATTAATTTTTAAAAAAACTAATTTATATTTTATGTAAAGGAGAAAACAACCCTTTATCTGGCATTTGAAATCTGCATCATTGGACGCTGAATTTTCAAAATGGAATCTGCATTTGAATATAAAAATTGGAATAAAAAGATAGTGCTATCAATCTGCATTATTGAATGGGTCCATCACCCTCAATCAATTCCCAATCTCATAAAATAATAATAATAATAAGAATAATAATAATATAATGGTGGAGAATTGAATAAATAATATTAAATTTTGTCGCTGTTTTTGTACATGCAATTCAATATCAGCAATTCAATTTGATTAAGTTAATTTTAACAAATTATATTAAATTTCAAGTGTTTTTTGTTTGAGAAATTTTGAAGGTTAGCCATAACTCACTTGCTCCATTTTTTTTCTAACTTCTTTATTAACCAAAGACTTTAATTGGTTTGATTATAGGGAAACTATACATTGAAGAACCATTTCATAATATTTTCTAAAGTTAACTTTTTTATTTTTATTTGTAATTTTTGAATATGTCAATATTTTTCGTATAATCAAAATAAAATTCTATTTTATAGATTTAAATAAACCTCAAATGTTCCACAAAATTTATTAATTTCAATTGCAATTATATATAATTTAGCAAATAAATTATCTATTTATTTATATTTATTGTTAATAATTTCAATAATTATTCACATCTAGAATTCCATTTCCTATGTTTACAAAGGAAAAGGTCTATTCTTCTTGAAAAAAGTCAGTATTTTTAAAATTTGTTATCATATTCTCGGTGTTATACTGTTTCATTTTAAATACGTATTTTTTTAATTTGTTTTAAAAAATAGTTTTCAAATTATTAAAAGTGTATTTAAAACCTAAAAAAATATCAATATTAATCTTCGCATATTTGATTGAAAAAATATTTCTTATTTTTTTATATTCACGAATATCTATCTATATATATATATTTACAAATATTTTCTATTTTATTTTAAATAAAGTTTTGATATAAACTATATATTTTAATAATTTTTATTTTACAATAAATTACATCATAAAATATAATATAATAAAGTTAATTTTCATAAAATATTAATTCAAATAATTTATAATACAAAATATAAATATAAATATTATTAATATTTTTTATCATTAATTTTATTTTTAAAAAAAGTAAAACTAATCATTGCTCCGTATTAAATGAATCTTTGTTTTTAGAAGGGTAAAATAGTCTTTTAAGATATTACTGTGAAGAAAATCATTTGGGTTGGACCTCATTCATTCAGAGAAAGAGAAGAGAGAATCTTGGCGGCTTCTGCATGTTAAAAAATCACAGGATTCCATTCCACCTCTTCAATCTTACTTATTCCAATTTCTTTAAATGTGAAACCAAAACTGAGAATGTTACGTTCGGAGTAACGAATCAACAACAAGGGAGTGGTCCCATGTTCATAATTGAAGTATTGACAACGTGGGTCGAGAAAGTTGCCGGAAAACTAAAAAAAAAAAGAATCAAAAAAATAAAAACAAAAAATCAATTTTGGCATTTTCGTTGACCCTTTTGGTATTTGAGGTAGCTGGCAATTTAAAGGAGCCACCTTGTCATTTCACTTGTTGAATTGGGCAAACTGGTTCTTACCCACCTTGAATCTCCGCATGAGGTTGTGTGTTTTGGAGATTCAGATCCGAGAAAGGTGAGTCAATGCTCTGCACATGTCAGAATACTAATGCAGGGTCATGTGATGGTTGCCTTTGTTTATTGAACTCGTGATTCTTTAGTTTTTGAGTTTAAAGTCCAAATTAGGAGTAGTAAATTGCTGTCACTGTTTTCTTCTCTTCATTTCATGAAGAGACAAAAAAAGTTTTCTTAGTTTTAGGCAATCAGGCCTAGTTGAGCTTTGTATCAAATTGGTCATTGTGAGGAATAATAATTTTATTGATCTGTTTCAGGCTATGATGTCTAGGCAGCCTGGTGAATCAGAAGGGTTTGAGTTTGTTTTGTAGTGTGGATAGCATGGGAAGGGACTTGTTAGATTTGTTCTCCATGAACAAATGGAGGTGTTCTTGGTCCCTGGCAGCGACAATTGCGTCTGTGGTGGCATTGGTTTCTGTAGTACATTTGTTTTTGTTCCCTTTGACACCTACTTTCAATTATTTTAAGATAGCTCAAGACTCTTGCATCCCAGCTAATCCATCAGCAGAATTTCCGAGCAATTGTGATAAGGAACAGCCTGCAGTTGATTTCAAGCTTCAGTTTCCAGCTGATTTGCACGGAGCAGCTGTTTATCAGGGTGCACCATGGAAGGCAGAAATTGGCCAGTGGCTAGCTGGCTGTGATTCTATTATTAAGGAAGTCAACATAACTGAGGTGACATAAGTGATTCCATTAGCTGTTATTTCGGTCTTTCTTGTGTTCTTTGAGTTGTTAATTTGGAGGTTTCATGTTTCTGCTAGTTAGTTTTTCAGAAGCGGTATGGTTGTTATTGGCATTGCCTTGATATCTGCTTACCAAAAGTATTTTTTGCCCCATAATATTGTTGATTAACAGATAATAGGTGGAAATAATTGCAAAAATGACTGCAGCGGCCAGGGGGTTTGCAATCGAGAATTGGGACAATGTCGATGTTTTCATGGTTATTCTGGTTAGATCTCTTCCCTCCTTCTGTCATTTTATTGACCTGATACATCATGCTTACCTCATATACAATGTTTAATGAGAAGCTACTATTGTAGGATTAACTCATTTTGACAATCTTGCAGTTTTAGCTTTATCTTATAATTATTAACACTCTTAATAATATAGGTATGATCAGGCACTATGTTCATCCACATTCTTTGGTGGCTGGTAAATCTCACATAGTCATTACCTCAAGGGACTACTGATTAGATTTTAACCTGAGTGCTCCAGAAGTCATTATTCTAAAACAAAGAGGTGTTGCTACTAGTTAGAGTTAAGCATTTAAATCCAAGTTATATCTCCAGCAACATTTATTTTACCAGCTAGTGACTGATGTGTTTTGTTTGTGGGCTTATACTAGGTTAAAATTAGTATATATGTAATTCACTTGTATGTTACCTTGAGGTCTCTGCATCCATGTCTAATCCTTAGCCTCTTTCATTGTACCATCTTACCCTTGCTCTCCTTCCATGTGGAGGACCTTAGGCGCTTTCATCGTGCATACCTTCAGCTCAAACAACCTGCTGTTGGATTTACCCTCTTTTCTGGAGGGCAGGATCCCAAAAGCTCATTTTGGAGGATTTTTTACATGCCCTCACGTGTGCTCACAAGTGCATTGCCTGTCTACCATGTGTAGTTCATGCATTGCATTCCCAGTGCTGTTTCATGCTGCTGGTCACTACTCTGCTTGTCTGTCCTACTCAACCTCTTTTTGGTGTGGTTGCCCTAGCTGCAGTATTTGGAGCATAGTTACAAGGTTTGCAATTCTTTTTAGTATGTGGTACGGGTAAGGGTGAATCCTACACTACCTTACTAAGCATGCAGTCTATTGTGTTAGGAAATACAAATGTGATTCTAAGTCCCACATTGGATAAGAATGAGAAAGTTAAGCAACATATAAGGAAGTATGACTCATAACCTAATGCCTTAAAGTTTTGGGTTGAAAGTGGTGTCAATCCCTTATATGGGTTGAACTCATGTCTCATTGATGTTGTTCTCCCCAGTAAATTCCCTCGAAAAACCCAACAAATGGTATCAAAGCCGAAGGTTGATCGGTAGTGGGTTAGAGTGGTCTTTGTATCGAAAGTCTTCCTGGCAGAGTAGGGCTACTGATGAGTTTGAGGGGGGATGTACCGATGTGGAGGAATTCACACTTGAGGGGGAGATTGTTAGAAAATACAAATGTGATTCTAAGTCCCATATTGGAAAAAATGAGAAAGTTAAGCAACATATAAGGAAGAATGCCTTAAGGTTTTGGGTTGAGAGTGGCGTCAATCCTTTATGTGGGTTGAACTCTTGTCTCATTGGTATGTTTCTCCCTTGTGAATCCCCCTATGAATTGGAGTATACTTACCAGTTGTATCTACTTCCAAAGAAACACATGTGTATGCTAGAACCAATCATACACAAGAAGCACTTGTAATTGTTGCAATTTGTATCTAATTAACAGAAACCTAATATGGTCCAATAACAACCCTAATAATCTGAACTATAGGTAAGTAAGTATTGTATCCAAGACTTCAGTAAGCCTTTATCCTTCAAATGATTGTCATTATAGTTCTGGTGATTACCCATTGCCTTGAGAAAAGAAAAAAGTCCCATGTCTAGTATCTTACTGCCAACACATTTTCGCTAATAACTTATCTTAGGATTTCCACACTGGTACCAAAGCCTTGAAGGATGAGAATTGGATTCAAGTCATGAATGATGAGATGAGTGCATTGGAAATTATGCCAGTTTGATGTCAAAAATGGCTTTGTACATGGAGTATTGGAAAAGAAGTGTATATGAACATCCTGCTCGGATATGGTTCTCTAATGGAGAGAACAAATTGTGCAAATTGAGGAAGGTTTTGTATGGACTCAAACTATCTCTATGTGCTTGCTTTGAGAGATCACTCAAGCCATTATATACTTAGGGTATCAGCAGATTCAAGGTAACTATACCCTTTTCCTAAAGCATTCACAAGGTGGTAAACTAACATTTCTTTTAGTATATCTGTAAAGATATGATTATTGCACGCGATGACACCAAAAGCATATTCTATAGAAGTTAGTATCACAATTTGATATGAATGATCTTGACAAGTTGAAGTATTTTGTTGGGATTGAGGTTGCTTAATTGAAATAGTAAGGCATCTTCATATCTGTGGATATATGTGTTCTTGATCTCTCTCAAGGAAATAGGCAAGTATGCAAAGTTGCCACTAGAACTTCCATAGATCATAATAATCAGATTGGGAACAAATAAAGAAGTTTAATAGTAGATGAATTCCGAAATGATAGACTTATTGGAAACTCCCAACCTGACATAGTTTTTGTAGTTAATGTGGTTAGCCAGCTTATGCATGATCCATGGCTAAGACTTTTGCAAGCCATAACTAGGGTTCTTCATTATTTGAAGACTATTATGGGAAAGGTATTTCTATTTAAGAGGGAGGGCAAGCTATCATTGGATGTGTATACAAATGTAGATTATGTCAGACCAATTTGATAGGAAATCCACCTTGCTGAATGGAGGAGCTAGAAATGAAATGTGGTTGTAAGGTTAAATTGTAGGGTCTTTCGAGGGGGGATTCACAGGGGAGAAATACACCAATGAGACAAGAGTCCAACCCACATAAGGATTGATATCAGTCTCAACCCAAAATCTTGAGACATTAGGTTATGGGTCATACTTCCTTATGTTGCTCAACTTTCTCATTCTTACCCAATGTGGGACTTAGAATCACACTTGTATTTCCTAGCAATCTCTCCCTCAAGTGTGAATTCTTTCACAATGGTACATCCCCTCGAACACACTAGTGGTTCTTCCATGTATCGCCGTTCATTCTAACGGGACCCACTGCCGATCAACCTTCGGTTTTGATACCACTTGTTGGGTCTTTCGAGGGGGAATTTACAGAGGAGAAACACACCAATGAGACATGAATCCAACCCACATAAGGATTGACACCACTCTCAACCCAAAATCATAAGGCATTAGGTTATGGGTCATACTTCCTTATATGTTGCTCAATCTTCTCATTCTTACCTAATGTAGGACTTAGAATCACACTTGTATTTCCTAACATAAATGTCTAGGGGTTGTGTATGAAGGTCATTCTGAAAGTTCTCAACAAAAATAAAGCCCCTAAGAGATTTCTATGTGACATCAAATTGGCATTATAGTTGCTCATAAGAATCCAGTTCAATTTGGTACGACAAAACACATATAGGCTTACACTTTATGGACAAGAAATTGGACTGTGGCCTTATAGCAGCAACATATTAACTAAGGTGGTTTACACACAGTGCTTGAGTAATAGATATCCATTCACCAACTTGACATGTGAACAGAATATTCCCATGTAAATTTGTTTCTGTTTCATTTTCTGTATGTACTAGGCTAGAACTAGATTTGTAATTCCCCTTGTATATTAATCAGAAAAATATTAAGCATTTTTAATATTTCAAATCTTTTACTAGTTATATCTAAGTTCTAACTAATAATTTTTGTTGCTATTGATGCCAACATTCTATGATATGCTTAAAACATAACGAAGAAAATTACATGACTTGTCACTACCATTTCTTGAATATGTTTGATTTTTGCACAAAGGCATATTTAATTCATTAGTTGGTCTGAACTAATGTGCTAATTTCTGAGGTGATAGGGGATGGATGCACTGAAGAATTGCAATTGGAATGCAACTACGAAGGATCATCAGATCTACCATTTGGGCGATGGGTTGTCTCAATTTGCCCTGCCAACTGTGACAAGACAAGAGCAATGTGCTTCTGTGGAGAAGGCACAAAATATCCAAATAGACCATTGGCAGAGACATGTGGTTTTCAATTTAAGTATGTAAAAATCAGACTCCTAGTATTGAGTTTGAGTTTCATTGGAGAACTTTCTCAATTTGCATCATTCAAGTTTCATTCCTTTCATATGTTTCAGTCCTCCATCTGAACCTGATGGTCCCAGACTAGTGAATTGGTCAAGAGTTGACAATGATGTGTTCACAACTAATAGTAGCATACAGGGTTGGTGTAATGTGGATCCAGCTGAAGCATATGCTGGAAAGGCAAAAATTAAAGAAGAATGTGACTGCAAATATGATGGTCTTTGGGGCCGACTTTGTGAAGTGCCTGTAGAATCTGTTTGTATTAATCAATGCTCTAGACATGGCCACTGTCGTGGTGGATTTTGTCAGGTGATTCTTTTGTTTATTATTGTGAAACTTGGATTTGTTGTCTGTTTACGGAAGAAACACTTTATCAATCATCTATTGTTTTTATTTTCTAGTTGTGGGATTGACTAGTGGCAAATAAATTACTTCAATGACACATATGATAAAGGAAATTATTTTAGAACATTTAGGCCCATAGTCAAATGTCTTTTTCTTATAAAAGTTTGTATGACTATGTTGATTAGAAATCAAATACCTTGAAGCTGAAGGAAAATAAGCCTATATAGAAACAGTAAACCAAGACACAGGAATGAGAGATCAGTGAAGGATTAAAAATTCATGAACAAATAGCACAGGCTCAAAACTTTTAAACCTTTGTACAGATGCTATTTCAATTTTTGATAATTTGTGTTTTCTGTAATCAGTGTTGAAAGTTTGCACTCAGTAGAAATAAGAAGCCTATAATGTGAAGCTAATTGACATGGAGCAACAATTAGAAGAATGAAGTCTTTTTGAAATACTAAGTGCCAGTTACAATTGTCCAAAACAGTTCTAGTTTCATTCCTTTAAATGAAATTGACAAGTTTCTCTAGGGGAACAACAGTAAGATAAAATGAAACTACTATCACCTTTTCTGTGATGAATAAATTCAATTTGTTTCCATTCATATTATGTAGATAAGAAAGTTATGTATTTGTAGTGTGAGAATGCTCACTTCCATCCAATGTCAGTAAATAACGTGAATATAGTGTATTTTCAGTGTGAAAATGGCTGGTATGGAGTAGATTGCAGCATGCCATCTGTTATTTCTTCTATAAGAGAGTGGCCTACTTGGCTTCGTCCTGCTCGGGTTGATATTGCTGACGATGCTCATTCCAATGGAAAAATAATTAATCTCAATGCTGTGGTAGCAAAGAAAAGGCCTCTTATATATATTTATGATTTGCCCCCAGAGTTCAACAGCTTGCTACTTGAGGTCAGAATAATATGAATGCCACTCTTCACTGCATCGTAAGAGCAAAACTTCGATATTTTTTTTTTTCTTATCTTATTAATATTTGATTACTGCAGGGACGCCATTTTAAGTTAGAGTGTGTAAATAGAATTTATGATGGCAATAATGTAACATTATGGACAGATCAATTGTATGGTGCCCAGGTATTGCATGACTTTCATATAGGAGCATTTCATTTGGTAGAATTTAACATTTATAGCAGTATATTTATCCTGAGCGACCACTTGTCTGCAGATGGCACTTTATGAAAGTTTGTTAGCTAGTCCTCATCGAACACTAAATGGCGAAGAGGCAGACTTTTTCTTTGTTCCTGTTCTTGATTCATGTATCATAACTCGTGCTGATGATGCTCCCCACTTGAGTATGCAGGTATATTTTACTAATTGTTAATTTACCAAAATATATTTGTAGAATGTCTGTTGCTGCATGTGCCATGTGTATAAAGAATGACTGCATCACTGTTTCAGCCTTTGCATGCTCAGAGTGCTTTCAGATCATTCTGAGTTACAATATCTGTGATTAATTGGATGTCATGTTAGTCAACACTAACATCTATGTTATGATGTACATGGATTTGCCTTCCATCGATGTTCTTGAATAGTGATACTTTCAAAATGGGAAAGACAGTTTGCATGTAATGTTTCTTTCCCTTTTAGAATGGAAGGATATTAATATCTTGAGTTACGTATTACTTGTTTGTTCTTACCATCAGTAATGCTCAGATTATGTTATGTCACTCTTGGGTTGTAGATCTGTTTTGTAATATATTAGATGTATATCTATGTAGCATTGGCTATAGATTCCATGTTTTACACTGTCAGTTTTCTCCTTTTCTTACATTTTGTTTTATAACATCCAGGACCATATGGGATTGAGGAGCTTTCTCACTTTGGAATATTATAAGAAGGCATATAGTCACATTGTTGAGCAATATCCTTATTGGAATCACTCATCAGGAATGGACCACATCTGGGTAAGGAGAATTGTTTATCCAATGTTGAACATTTTTTTTATGAACTTATACTGTATTTGTTTGTGCGAAGCATATGCTAATTAGTTCGCTTTTGTTTCTGAAGGCAGTTTTTTTCTTGGGATGAAGGTGCTTGCTATGCTCCTAAGGAGATATGGAACAGCATGATGTTAGTTCACTGGGGAAACACAAACTCAAAGCATAATCATTCAACTACAGCCTATTGGGCTGACAACTGGGATAGAATTCCGTCCAACAAAAGAGGCATTCATCCATGTTTTGACCCTGACAAAGATCTCGTGCTTCCTGCGTGGAAAGTTCCTGATGCTAGTGTGTTGACTTCAAAACTTTGGGCTCGGTACATAACTGCCCAAAATTTAATATTCACCTTAGTTGATTGCTTTTTTTTGGTCATGGTTGAATCTTGTATTCTATTCATTCAAGTTCATCGACTGAAACAATGCAACCATGTTATATTTTGTTATCAGGTCCCATGAGAACCGGAAGACTCTGTTCTATTTCAATGGGAATTTAGGACCAGCGTACCCTCATGGAAGACCAGAAGATTCGTAAGTTTACTATGTTTTGGAATCTGTAGAAGGAAGCTGAAATATGGCATATACTGTGTGTTTAAAGCATGTTCCCATTTTCCCTAATTATTAACTTTGATATCCCGTTGCTTAATGTTATTTGTGAAATTGAATAATTTGTCACTTTCTTGTCATCAAACATTGTCAGATATGTTGTTGGTCGCCAAAAGTTACTTATATATATTATTTAATCTTATAGAAGATAACTGGTTACAAGTTTGCTGGAAATGGAACAGGTATAGCATGGGTATCAGACAGAAGCTGGCAGAAGAGTTTGGATCAAGTCCTAACAAGGATGGAAAACTTGGGAAACAGCATGCCAAAGACGTCATTGTGACCCCCGAGCGTTCTGAAAACTATCACATGGATCTAGCAAGTTCTGTTTTCTGCGGAGTGTTTCCTGGAGATGGCTGGAGTGGTCGCATGGAAGACAGTATTTTGCAAGGATGCATTCCGGTGGTCATTCAGGTAGTAATTTAAAGCTCTTTTCTTACCGAAGAAATGACTGTAATTACCAATGATAGTAACTGTATTCCTTTTGGCTCATTGTTTCCTTGTTCTGTAGGATGGAATTTTCCTACCATACGAGAATGTGCTCAACTATGATAGCTTTGCAGTTCGAATATCTGAAGAGGAAATTCCAAACCTCATAAACATTCTTCGGGTACTTTTTTTCTCTGATTGTTGATTTAATTTATCATACAAATTAAATCAAGACACTGTATTAAGTTGTCATCCTAGGCAACATTGGTTGAGTGGTTTGCAATCCATGTCTTCTTGCAGGGATTCAATGAGACAGAAATCAAATTCAAGCTGGCAAATGTTCAGAAAATATGGCAAAGATTCTTATACCGTGATTCTGTTTTACTTGAAGCTGAAAGGCAAAAAACTACTCTTGGACATGTTGATGATTGGGCAATTGAATTCTTAAAACTGACTGAGGATGATGTCTCCGCCACTTTAATACAGGTAATTTTTCTTCATTTGTCGAAGAACATATTGTTAGTGATGAACCGAAAGAATGCACAATTATCCTGGATATTCGAGTGAATCAGGACTCTTCCTAGCCACAATACTTACTCTCAAGTTGACCAACTACTCCTCTCAGCTAACTAACTCCAGTTATTCTACTATCTAAACCAACAAACGGGTATCTATAAGATTTCATTAAAAAGATAAATTTCCAAATTCTATTTCAGTTATGAGACTGTAGGAGAAGATAGTTTCCTATGATATAATTATGCTGTTGGATTATAAGGCAAGTAATTTCAAATTAGATATATTATGGCCAGCAGAAACTATAGATGAACAGAAGGATGATGCTGTATCATCAAACATTATATGCAAAGTGGAAAATAAATAATCAAACCTCTCTCACTCTTCTCTCTTTGTCTATTTTGGATGTTCAAGTGTCATTTCCCTTGTCTATATATATTTGGTCTTTTGACTAAGTAGTGTTTGTGTTAAACAAGGTTTTGCATTACAAGTTGCATAATGACCCTTGGAGGAAACAAGTTCGCCACAACAAACAGTTTGGATTACCTCACCAGTGTCTGGTAACCACCAGCTGAAGAGATTGGTTAGTTAATGTGAAGACCAAGATCAAGATACTTCCAGAGGAGTAGGGGAAAGTATAACCTTTCTGCTTCATTTTGCCAATGAATTTTCAAAACATGTTTCACTATCATTTGTAAAAGTTCATCGAGTTCCTTGTAGATGTTTTCATCTCCAGTCCAGAAAATCATTCAACCAGGTCGGACATACATCATTCTTTTTCCCTTCTCACATAAATATATGCATGCTAAGTGCATTTTACAGTTCTTTTTTTCAGAGTTTTTTCAAAGGGTGCTACCATGTGCAATTGTAAAATTATGTCATTCACAACAGATTTTTATGCGAAAACAAGAGAAATAAAAATGGTTACATATTTAATTTACCTGTTCCATTTTTGTTCCCTTGATATCATGAAGTAGACATTACAGATTTTTGAATAGGGTTGACAAGGTGGTGTTATTCTATACTCAGTAATTATCGCTGAATAAGAGATTTTAATACTGATTTATATTTATAGAATCTTTCGGTTTTGACACTTGTTAATTCAGTTAAGATAGAACGATGGAGAAGACACAAGTACTTTTTGGCTAAGTAGAATTTTGAAAGTACTAAGAACAGCACTCACAAGGTTAACCTACAAACTATACTTGGATAACTCGCAAGCTGCACTTGACACTCAACGTTGAAATTTCTACCAAGAAATTTACTCTTTGGTGACTTGATTAATACCTATTCTTGGAAAGAAAAATTAAGTAAATGTTTGTTTGTAATCATAATAATATTCTCCAGCCAATAGTTAGGATAATACATTAAAGTGATAAAAAATAGATTAACAAAAGATTAGGATAATACACGCATTATAAGGACTAATCCTTCCAAGACATGATTCTAATTGATTGCTGATATTGATATTGCGGTTCTAAACTATGGTTGCTTTTAACCTTTGTAATTGTGAACATTGTTGCTGTGACAACGTGAAATTACTATATTTTTACACTTAACATAAATAAATTTTACAATTATTCTAATTATTATATTTTATAATTTGGTGTTACTGTATCACGCAACCTTCCACCCACCATGAAGTACTTCCTGCACTTCTCTAATTTTCTACACACTAACAGCATTTGATCATTAACAATTAGAAGTTAGAATACAATAGAAGATTGTAGATCTGATTTTTTGTTATTATATATATATATATATATATATATATATATATATATATATATATATATATATACAGAGAGAGCGATGCAAATGAATAATGGTACCATTGCGAACAACTTCATAACAGCAATATTACTGACGGGGACAACAATTTAAAAACCATGAAAAGTTATGCTTTACCAAAGTAAGTTTAATATCTCTTAATTTTTTTTAATCATAACTAAAAATTTAAATCCTGTAAATCCTAAACATACTTAGGAATCATACTAGTCATATTTAGGTGATCCACCTCCGTTTACAGAGAGAGAAAATCATAAGATGAAAAGCAAATGCAACAAAGAACTACACCTTTTAATTTAAAGTCACCAAAATGCTGATAAGGTGTCAATTTTTATTTTTTAGATGAAGACTGATATAATATATCTCCATTCCCTGCCAGTGCCACAATAACTAACTAAGCTCCTTTCTGACTAAGGCAATTTTTTTATGATAAACTACTTTCCCCCTAATACATTGCTAGCTGCCAACAGAACGAAAATTTATCCTAAAAGACACAAAACAATAACCATAAGTAAACCAAAGATCCAACACCTTTTGCTCAAGGTTATAACATTGGTTGAATACTTGATCCACTCAGAACCTATATGTAACTAGTTTCAACCATACTAAAGCTAGGTTAAGTAGGTGTGTTTTCTTGAATAATTTTCTCAGTAGTTCCAAATGGAAGTGGAGAGGGTAAGTTCGTCGTTTATGTCATATGCTTCAAACTGGATTTCTTCTGATGCAAGATAATTATACACAACTTCATGGTCATGCATCTCAATCAATTCCTCCCAGTTAAAGCTACTCATGTCAGAAAACACTCCTGGTTGTTCACTGTCATCTCTTGATGCAGCTTCAGACACTGTTGAACTTCCCGGGCTATCAGTTTTCTCTGCCTCTCTTTCATCTTTTAGTATTCCCATTTGTTGAAGAAACTCAAGTAGGTCTATCTCGGGTTTCTCCTCAAAATCACCAATTATATTTTGTGGTGAAACTTGAGAATCTTGTGGAAGTGGAGGGAGAATCTCTGAATGGTTTTGGCTGACTATGTTCTCAAGTTCTACCACCTTTGGATGAGTGGATGAACTAGAATGTGATGGTTGAGTGGTTGCAAACACTCCATTTTGCTTAAGCTGTTGCAGCCTCTGGTGGATCACATGGACACTCGGTTGAGCATTAAGGTTGAGCAATCCACGGGAGGGAAACATGGAGATGAAGTTCTTGGAAGGGAACCACTTGAACTTTTGAGATTTGGTGGTGGAGTTTATGAGGTTTGGTTGCATGTGGGGGAGGTTGAGGTAAGCATCGGGACCATAGAGTCTCCTTGCAGCCTCATCATAGGCCAAGGCAGCTTCTTCAGCGGTGGCAAAGGAGCCAAGCCAGAGTCTTGTTCTCTTCTTAGGCTCTCTTATCTCAGCCACCCATTTGCCCCAGGTTCTTTGCCTAACGCCTCTATACTCACATGAGGCATTTTGGGGGCCACCTTTGCCCCTTGTTGGTCCTTTTTTCCAAGGCTTTAGAGGGGACTTTTTGCAACCCTCCATGGTAGATAGTGATGGGAATTGAGGAAGACAAGGTGGTGGTGCTGAGACACTTGCAATTGATGCATGATGTGGGAGGAATGGAGCGGGATATGTAGGAGCAAGAGTGAAGTTTGGTGTTAAATGTTGTCACGTTTGGAGAAGTGGCCATGTGACCGTTGTGCTTTGTGAAGGCACAGATTGCTTCAAATCCTGAGTATTTATTTACTTTTCTTCTTTATACACAGAATTTTCTGGGCTGAATGAATTCTTTTGTTATTGTTGTGAACACGTGTTGGTTATTGCGACTAAGAGATTGCATGGTCTTAACATGTGGAGGATAATTATAGTTTTGTCGTCTAAACAAAAGATAACTTGTCTAACTGAAAAGTTGAGAAAAGAATAAGTTTTTAATAACTTACGCGGTTCTTGGAATTAAGGTCAAACGATTTTTAATTGATTGACCCAGTTGTGTTTTGGATATGCATTTTGCTTTTGGAAGTCACGGATAAAGGATTTTACTACCCAAGATTTTTCAGAACAAAAACATCTTAGAATAATTTGTTATTTGGTCTTTTGTAAAAAAGTTTTTTTTTTTCATAATTTCGGTCTTTCTATTTTTATTTTTTTCCCCATGTTTTTGAAAACCCACTACTTTACTTCAATTTTTTTAATTTTGTTTTTATTTGTTTTTTTTTTTACATTTTAATTAACTACATTATTAGATCTATATAGTTCAAATTTTGACCAAACTAAAAAATAAAACTATGGATGAAAGGTTGTTAAAATATAAAATCATAAACAGAAGTTAAAATAAATAAACTAAAAGAAAAGTATTTCTAAAATATATATTTCTACTAAAAGAGTCTATCATGTTTATACCAAAAATAAATCATTCTTAAACACATTTTAAAAATAAATTAGGATGGTGTAATTATGTATAAACAAAGATACATAAATAAGTCCTGGACCAGTTAACAATATTTTCATTTTCAATAGCAAATGCAAATATCCCATAAAGGAACTTTTTTCATTCGTAATTCGTTTTAACAGTAGTTGGTCTTATCTTAGTTGTCACCGTAAAATAATGCACTCAGCAGGAGAATCATTTTGACTTATAGAATAACCACAAGTTTATCCGTTTATTATGTCCAAAAACTTTACTTAATAGCAATGTTTGAAGATAAGGTGTAGTTTATTCTCCAGCATTATGTAGAAAATAAGGTTATTAAATGTAGAGGCAGTGACTACAGTATACATGGAAAGAGTCTTCCCAAGTAAATGTGAGTGCTTTGAATGAACTCTGACACTCATCTTTGGATTCTATACATTACCTGAATTTGACCTCTACGGAAGGATTATAAGAAAGATCCACCTCAACATTTTCCAATTTCACGAGCTACATTTCACATGTTTTCCTGCTACACAGCCTGATTCTCGAGACCTAGTTCACCTTCATCCCATGTTTCTCCTCTACATACCTAGCTATGTCTATCTGTGAATTACATTCTTATCATAGAACTCTTAAAATTTCCACGTAAAAACTAAATAAAACAAAATAAGACATGACAAGAGTGATGGTATGGTAAAATTGATGCTGAAGGCAACCGTATGACACAACTATACATACGGTTGCAAAAAAAATTGGAAATATATTATTTGAGGAAAATAATGAAAAAAAAAAGAGGGGTAATATACACTTGTAATTGTGAAGTGATAATCCACATGGAACACGAGTCAAACATATTAAGAGACAGGATTTCACATTTTCACTACAACCTTACTATACAAGCAACTACTTTATGTGACAGTTTACACCAACAGATGATTTTAATTGGTAGAGCTAAATACACCATGTTATCGGCAATCAAATGGTTAGAGCTAATCAACCTTATTTTTAAATGGCCTATAAGGCACCACTTCCATGATTCTCTTCCCTTGGCAAAAGATTGTGCAACTTTCTTGTAAGGGTAAAGGCGATGCCGTGTTTGTAAGTAATATGAGACTAGCTGCGACAATATAAAAGATCATCTGCCGAGTTTCTGGAGGGAAGAAAAAAATGACCTGCATTAGAAATAAGCAAACAACATACATATTATATAGATAAATAGATGTCCTACACTTGACTCAACCAGATTAATCTGGTAAACCAAAATGAACCTACGATACTGAGTAAATATCGAAATTTGAGCACATTAAAAAGCTAAAAAGTGAATGCATAATCCATAACGACATCTTGATGCAAATGCAATCTGCTTCATCATTTTTTGTTTTATTATGGAATAGCAAAGAACAAAACTACAAGTTCTACTATCTACTGAATTTTGGAGCTATAAATATAGATCCATGAACCATAATTATGGCTATATAATGAGATAACCCTCGCTTGAACTATATATGTTTTAGTACAGGTAATGTGTAGATATGAGTCCTACCTTTCTATCAATCAATAGAATGTTACAAGAGGAATCGTAAGCAAAATTTTCTCCTCCTTAGAAGGACTAAAATATATCTGAAGTGAAAGAACATGGTACGGACAGTTAACGAAATCGGTAAGGGGGTGCATGACAGATAGGCTCAATCCAAATCTAATAAGATATAAAATTTAAGTAGCTTGAGTAGACCTGGGATCTTGTATAGAGAATACTAATTGTATTAACTTTCAACTACTGCCATTCAGATCAGAATGATGAACAGCGTAGACAGATGACCAATCTTTCAAGTATCACTTGAAATGAAGCCCTTTCATTTTGATTTTGAGTGAGCTTTGCACATGTTCTTCCATTTATCCTTCAGATCTTGTGGTGTACGACGCTTACTATCTTTGTCAAACACATGAGAACCGAATGCCAAAATGTTTTTCCATTTCTTACCAAACTTCTGAACTCCCTCCTGCACAGAGAAAACAAGTATTAGACACTAAACCTCAAAATTCAAGGTGAAAGAAACAAATAGGAGGATCCACATCCTTTAACTTTCTATCATTGTATTAGATTGTTCTTAATTACAAAATTGTTGTGGAAGCAAAAGAAAAACATGTCCGAGGAATGATGTTTACACAGAAACATAATGCAATTAGCTACATATAAAGTGTGAAGTCATACTACTTGGAAGAAGTGATGGAAGAAAGAAAAACGATACCCTTATCATCTCTTCCTCCTCAGCTGTCCACGGAATTTTCTTTCGTTTTAACTGATTACCCTGAGATACTGGGCTTGCTGGGAATTTGCTGTAAGTCAAAAAAACCAAACAAATTAGAATGACTACAATAGTGTCAGTCCTTCAAAATGTAATAATTATTACTATAAGGCAGCATTTGGTCATGAACTATTTTTGCATCCCGGAAATCTTAAGGTGGGATGACACATTTCCAAATTTAGAATAAGGTTTGACAAATATGGCTGCAAAATACTTATTCAGAGATATTTTATAAATTAGGATTCCCACAATCATTTCCACTAGAGAAAATGGGACGAGATCATTCTCATTTCGTCATGGGAATAGTTCTAGATTGTTACAAATAGAGGAATAGTTCCACTTGGCACTCCATCATTCAGCATACCATCTATCAATAATGGAGGTGAAGCATTGGAAGGGAGAGAGTATTAGTCCTGGGGTTTTCAGGATTTTCGATAATTTGAGATGAATCTTGTTTGGGAAAATGATGAGGTTTTGAAGAAAATCGATTTGAGATTGGAGAACAAAATGAAGGTGATATTATTCATTTTGGTTTGCGTTAATGTATATCAGTCGCAAATCCTGTTACATCATATCTGTTCTTGTATGGACATTATCAGTTCTGTTTGGCAAAGTTTAATTCTGACATGAAAAGTAAGGAAGCCCACTAGGACTGGGAAGGACGTGAAAATCATAGATCATACCATACCTTTAGTATAGGTATCTAGTATCTATCATGCATTCGTTAAAGGCAATGGACAAATAGAGGGAGATGTAAATCATTCAAGCAGGATAAAAAAAATAAAAAAATGCATCAGATGTTATAAAAAAGAGAGTAAACTACTCTAATAAAGTGATACGTCCCGAGGAAAAGATGGTAAAATCATGACGAGCCTAAGATAATTTAAACACACATAAAAAAGACCAATGACAACACTGGTTAAGAGAGGTGATCCAATTGTAGATAGCCCAAAAATTTTAGACGTTGAGTTAAACCATTGGTTTTGAAAAAAAATACAGTGGCATCTTTTGATCCATGTAACTGAGCCTACTAATAGGGAAAGGTTTTGGTTGTTGTGGCAAATATGCAACAGTTGTTTCCTCTTAGTTGGATCTGATAGACTGGTTATCAGAGATATTTTGGAATTTAAATTCAATGAAATCTTGTCCCAGACCAAAACTAGGAAGATTCTATTAGTTAACAATATCATAGTAAAGATCACAGTAAACCAAATGTAGATTTAATAGATTCCTATGGAAAACATTGCCAGAGTACTATTCTCAGGACTGAAAAACCAACTCTTGAGCCAAATGTTCCCTTAAAGTAACTTACACAAGCCAAAATCAAGCCAGTCTTCAGGAATTTATTAAAAAATTGAATCAATAATTCTAACTTTCAACATCGCTAAAAGTATTCATCGCATAAGAAACAAAAAAATATATTCTTAAGAAAATATTGTTACCAAAGTATTTAAAACTCTGCACTTGACCAAATAAGGCAGAACTCCTTAACAGCTCAACTAATCAGAAATTACTATATGCTAGGGAAAACATAGGAACTTACGATTGCATTTCATGTTTACGGTATCTCGTGGAGTATCTAGGAATACTATGCTTGTCACATTCATTTTCAGAAAATTTCTCTTTTCCACTATAATGTGCACAAACTGGCTCTATTTCTCCATCAATATCTAGCTGTTTTGTCATTTCTTGTGGACTTTCATCTCCAGCAATGCTTTTATTAACAAGGGCAATATTTGATTTTTCACTAGTAAATATGTCACCACCAACATGCCCATTTACATGCCCAGTTGGCACATAATTTTCTTCAACTCCAGTTAAATGCTTTGCAGTTGACATTTCACCTATTTCCTCTTCTCTTAAAACTTCAACTGATCCATCGCTTACAGTTTCCTTTTCTCTGCATGATGAACGGATACATGATATAGGGGCTTGTTGCTGACATCTTTCAAACCGGAGATTGTTGGCTTCCTTTGCATGCTCACCAACATGATCTTCTCTATTGTCTTCGCACCTTGTTAACTGATCATCTTCGTTGTTTTCAACATAAATATGTTCAAACTTACTACTCTTTCGTGAAAAACAATGTTCTTCTGTATGAAATTCACAAAGAAGACTCTCAACAGCTTGACTCATTTTACCTTTAGTAATAAAGTTAGCTAATTCTTTCCTTGCCAAGGAAGCTTTTTTCTTAGCTTCAACGTATTCTGAAATAGTGTGAGAATATGCACAAAATGGGCAAACAAAGTTGCCTTTCCCATCCAATTGTGCAGGTGCACCAAGACAGTTTTCGTGCACCATCAATTGGCAAGTAGTTGTTTTACAAGCCAGTAATTGGCCACCTTGATTACACTTCATGCAAAGATTTTGTTTATTTGGTTTGCTCATTGCTGAAAAATCTTGATTGTAGTGGGAGTGCAGGAATTCATGTTTTTTTGCTTCAAGATATTCTTTTTCATTGTGACATTCATCACTATCATTCGATAACTCTGCTCCACAACCATTAACACCACCAACTATAGTTTTAGCACAAGCAACTGGCTTCCGGGAGAGATAGAGATTGAAAATTGCAATATCTGATTCTGTCTGTTTGGGTTGGTGTAAATTAATTGTTGGATGAATATTTTCTGCATTAGCATCATTTGTTGGAATGGGATGATGTGCAGTATCATCAGATTCATCCATAGATGTATTATTACAAGGTTCAGCAACAGAGATATGCTGATGCATAATGGTATTTGCCATACCATGACGACATTCAGGAACCACTGGTTTGACAACATTTAAATCACAAATCCATAATTGATCACCTTCATTACACTTCAAACAAAGATTTTGCTCTGCCTGCTTTTTCACTTCGAGGTTAATCTTTTCACCTTGATACACTATATTACCTGATTTCTCTACGCCACAATCATACCCAGTATGATCTGGAGCACCAGCAATTTGCAGCTGTGAGTCATTTGGATCTTTTAGTTGTAAATCTTTTTCATGATTAGACCAAGGTTTACTTCTGGAAATCTCATGCTGGATTCCATCTGGAAGTGCAACATGAGGAGCTGACTCAACCTGCAGTTGCTGAGAATGTTCACCTCCAAATGTATGTTGAGGCATCAAAACATTATTAAAAGGCATATTTGATTCATCATGGGAGACTTCAATATGGCTGCTGGGTTGGCACAATTTTGAAGCAGCGCATCTATTGTGACTATCCTCTGCGGACCCACCAACCAGAGTTTCCTTGTTACTATTTTCTGCACGATGATCTCCTTGTTCAGAAACTAGAAGAATTCGTTCAGTTAAATGCTCTGACACTTCCTGTCGGAGTTCAGAATCTAGCTTCTCTTTCTTAGACTCAAAACTTGTAGATGCAGAAAGTTTAACCTTCTTTGATGTTCTAAAGAAATCAACACATTCACTTAAACAAACTTGCTTTTCATGGTGTTTTGTCAGATGATCAGCAGCTGAGTAAAGCCTACTCCTCTTTGAGGGTGAAGAATTATTATCAAGCCCGTGTTCTTTTGAAGATTTATTCCAATTCTCTAAAGTTAAGGACACTGAGTTATCTTTTTGTACCATGTTTTCTGTATCAGTGGAGGTCCCAGCATTCTTAGATGAATGATCATCACGTTTGGCATCATTTACAAGCACTGAATAACCATTATTCTGAGGAAATAATCCACTCGTTTCTTTCAAGTAATCAGTATGTGGATGAGTACCTTCCAAGATTGCTTCTCTCAGCTATTCAGCATTAGTAAAAGAACCAGATCAAACAAAAGTGGGGAATGAAAACGTACAGCCCATATGGGAGAGTTGTCAAAAGAAAAAGACATTTCCATTACCTGCTCTAAGTGACATTTAAAAGTGCTAGCTCTTTTGTGATTTATAAATGGGCAAACATCCGATTTCAAAAGCTCTGCTCCAGTCATTTTAAGATTTGATAATGGGATCTGCTCAATACATTACAAAAAGAAAGGAGGGACATTTATCTCAATTAGCATAATCATAAAGATCTATCTTCAAATGTGAAAAATAAAGTACCTGAAGCCTGGAAACAACAAAAATCATGTTTTCATTATTTCCAGTATAAATCTTTAAACAGGAAATAAGGTGGGAACTAAGTGCAACTTACGTAATTGTTTATAAACACAGGAAATGTTTCTCAAAGCACAGCAACACAATATGAGTATCCAAATTTGTTCATATAGCTTCTGACATACTTACAGTGTAAGTAAACTACGTCATTTACATATCAAAGGTGATTTAATGTGTATTTGGGTGAACATTTGCAAAATTGATTTGGGATAAAATTGACTTTGAAGCTAAGTAATTTATGTTTATATGATTTTATCCCCACAAGCAAGTTTCAAATAAAACTTAAGTGTACACTTTTTCACATTAACTCAATTTACATTTTATCACTTTAGGTAAACCAATATTTAAATGCAAAATCAATTTTAGCCAACAATAACCAAACATCCTTGTCTATATACTAATATCAAACCGAGGCATACTCAATTCTAACAGTTCCTACCGTGATATCAAACACATACTTCAAATTTGAAACTATTTTACCTCATTCAGTATTTCCTGGAGGACATCTTGGCAACCCCGCGAAAAATCAAATTCAGATCTGGAACCCGATGTAGAAGGAGCTTCAGGGTCAACCACACTGGTGGACATTTGCTCCAAACACCTCAAAGAAACCATTTCCTTTGTCTTTTCACTAAATTTATCATTCCCCACAGGTGCTGCATCAATGAAACCTACATCATCAATAACAACAACAGTAATCATGAAATTATTCATAAAAAAACGAAATTAAAAGGAAAGGAAACGAGGTTATTGGGTATTGTTTGAAGCGTGGACTGTTTACCCTGCAAAGTGGTATTAGAGATTTCTTTATAGGCTGATAGGGCTTCAATGACCCAAAGCCATGCAAGTGATGAAGGGTCGTCGTCACCGACCATGGATTAGGGTATTTTAAAGTGCAACGAAACCTTAAATGGCTTTGAATTGCTGTTACCGACGCTGTTCGAGGGTTTTCCAGAATGCGAGGAAAGTTCATTCCCGCGCGGAACGCAAATGCGTCATGGGAGTTGCGAAGAGGAAATCAAATCGAGAAACGGAAAGGTGAGAACGTGATTTTGACTTTCACTGGAATCGCGTTTTGGCTTTAGAAATGTTGAAGTGGTTCGAAGAGGAAGCTGGGAAGCACTTCTGTGAGAGATTTCTGTACACTCTATGCCAACTTTCATTATTGTTTTCTATTTCAAATCTCTCTCTGATTTAAATTGGGATCCTCTCCACTGTGATTTTGTCCCCTATTATCTCCAAACAAAATATAAACCATTGGATTAATTGAATGGCTCATATTTTAAGAGAGAAAAAAACAATGCTTAAATTGTTCACACTTTTTAGAATTAAAAAAAAAAAAACTATCCAGATGTAATAAACAGCAGATTTTTTGTTTATAGTAACTCTATAAAATTTAACTACACATTTGTTTATTGTTTTTTAAAAATAAATAATTTTTATCTATTATTAATATATTGTCTATTTTTAACGATAATGATAATAATTATTTATTCGTATACAATATATTTATGATAAAGTTATTTTGACATATTTTCTAGTATCAATTTCATAATATATTAACAATGTATTCAAAATAGTTAATTTTGAAAAACTGAAATGACAAATATACAATTAATCTTTTTGTTTCGGTGGAATTTCGATCGATTTCGATTCTAAGGGTGTTTTGGTCCTAATCAAAATTCTACCACGTAAGTTCTTTTTACTTAGGCTAGCAATTTGATTTTCAATCGAAAACGCGTATGAGAATTGAAAACTACAGGATATCGAAAATGTGGTTTTTGGTATTTTATGTCTAAAATGCTTGACTCAAACAAAACGAGTAAAGTATCGAATCGAGCAAAGAGAATATTAAATTGCAAGAAAGTGCGAAAACCCCGAATTTGCAAGAAATTAAGTTTGCGAGATAAATAAAGGACAGGAAATCGAAATGTGCGGGAAATGTAAATTGCTAAAACCCATTAAGATTGCACAGAAAGTAAATAACAGGAAATCGAAATGTGCGGAAAATGTAAATTGCTAAAACCCATTAAAATTGCACAGAAAGTAAATAACGGAAATCGAAATGTGCGGAAAATGTAAATTGCTAAAACCCATTAAAATTGCACAGAAAGTAAATAACGGAAATCGAAATGTGCGGAAAATGTAAATTGCTAAAACCCATTAAAATTGCACAGAAAGTAAATAACAGGAAATCGAAATGTCATTGAATGTAATCTACAAGAATATGAAATTGCTTGAATTGAAATGGCTCGAAAGTAAATTACCAAGGAAAATATAGAAAGCGATAAATGTACTCGGTGAGCAAGGAAATCCAGATTGCCGAAACTTCATGGTGTTCGTCGTTTCTCGGTAGACTTTTCACTACTCGATTCCGTTCTCCGCCAATTTCCCCTCCCCGTTTCTCCTTTCTTTGTTCTATTTATAGGGCGTTGTTCAAGCCTTCTAAGAGCGGTTAACGAGACTGCTACCACGTTCTTCGTGCGTATGACAGTTTCTTTTTACGGTTTTCCCATGTTCTCACGATCTTCAACTTTTCCATCACTTAGAAACTGCTTTCGATACGTGCGTTTTGACTACTTTCTTTCAAGGTTTAGCCAAGGTTATGATATCTACGAAAACGAGCCTTCCCTTTGATTTAATCGAGAACTTTGCATACCCGGTATCGATTTATTTTAACCTTAACTCCATGTTAAGCTTTTCGACTATTACGCCTACTCTTCCAATTTTACCTTTCGATTTTATGTGTCACGTTCTTTATAATCGGACATCGGGAAAGTTCCCTTTCGATTCATTTCTCGATCAGACTTCTCGATTCCACACTATGACTTAGTCTTTATTTGGCAACAGCTAGTTCATTTCTCGATTGTGCTTCTCGATGTTATATGCTACGTGTTTCAATTTGGACATCGAATGAATATTTGTTTATCTTATCGAGTCATATTTCTTTTCCCTTCGATTCCGATTGTGTTTCTCGATTTGCTACTAACAAATGCCCCCTTGAAAGAATATGAATAATTTCGGTTTATATTCTTTCAATATTCCCGCTTTAATGTTTGGAAGGTCCACGGGTTTAGGGTTTAGGGTTTAGGGTTTACGGGGTTCTAGGTTTAAAAGGGGTTTTAAGTTTCTTTTCCTCTTTACGTCGCCATCATATCGGTCTGCTTGTTTTCACGATGCTGCTGCATTTATTACCTTTCACCTCCGTCGTTCCATCTCCCTATACGATTTCCTTTTAACCTCTCAACCTATCTTTACTCCGGCTTTACGCGAACTTTTATCCTCTACCGAAAACTTGTCTTCTTCCCTAAGCTCCCGCCTTCGTTTACGTTACCTTACCTGTCACCTTCTTTATTATTTCTCTAATCTTACTATAATGGCCTCTTCATCTAAGTCATCTGATTTCTCGGCTCCTCCTCTTACCTCATCTACTTCTACCTTGCTTGGAAATTAACAACCAGCAGTTTGCTCCCTTGCCTTTAATGGAAGAGGCCTCTAAAAGGATTGCTTGAAACTCGGGTATTAGTTCCTTACACTCGTTGGTGGGGTTGGTTTTGGTTTTGGGGGCCCCATTCTTTCCGATAGTGGAACCGTTTCTCCCCTCACCCTCTCAAGCAGCCACTGCTCTAGTTCATCGACCCGAAGTTAGGATCGATTTTTTGAATTTTGTTTCCAAGGTGTATAGGACAGGTCCTCCCTCCAAAAAATCTTTGTTCACTCGATGGTTTGATAGGGTCAAGGCTAAATTCGGGGACCATTGGAAGAATGTGGGGGTTTATGATTTTCTACATTTATCTCAATGTGATTTATCCTACCTCGATATGGCTATGTTCCTGGCTGCAGTGCACCTATGGAATAAAGAGATACATGCATTGGAATTACCTTGTGGCCCCCTCTCACCTACTCTTCTCGATGTTGCGGCCATCACTGGGTTGAAACCTATAGGGGAAAGATATTTTCGGGGTGCGTGTCCTTCGGATAATTCGTTGAAGTCAAAAATCGATTGGGAATCGAAGGCCTACGGGCATTTCATTGAGAAGCATTTCGTTGATGATCCCTCGATAGATGTCACCGATGAAGAACATGTAGCGTTTTTGGTGTATTGGCTGTGCACCCATGTGTTTTGCCCCGATCGATCCAAATTTCCCCTCATCTCTTCAATCTTGCTTATCTCCTTCACTTAGGTCAACCCCGCCTATGTTTGGCCAAGCTTTTGCTAGCACATGTATATACCGCTTTCGACGAGGTCGTCGAAATTTTAAATACTCCTAAGGCATCGGGGAATTTTTCTGGCCCTGTTTGGTTCATACAGCCTATGGTTAACATCCGTTTTGAGAGTGTCCTTCCTCGATATTCTACTCGTCCCCCTAAGTGTAAATATAGAAGGGGCTCGATTATCCTCCCGTCACCCTCGCTATAAATCCGACGAAGCCACATATTGTAAATATCTCCAATTTTTGTTAACCGGATTTGTTTTCGATTCAACCTTAGCCCCTTTTATCGTAAATTTTGAGCGAGTAAGTGACCAACTTAGGGGACCGATCTGGTTCAAGTCAAGATTTCCCGCCTCAACCCCTGGGTTACAATTAGAACCGATCGATATATGGAGTGGCTACTTGACCCATGATGTGCTAGTATCAGGTTTCCACCCCAGTGGATTTCAAGTTCGTTACTTACTACCCCTGACTTTTTCCGGACAGTTTGGCCTCGAGCCGGTCTTTACCCTTTTTCCCTTTAAGTTCCTTCCCTAAATCCAAATTGATCGAATCGAACATCGTACGAGAGCTTGCTAAATTTTTGCCAAGACCCTCGATGCATTTTTATCCATATGCATTTGAGTCAAATTACTTATCGATCGTGGAATTTTCTCAATGGTGGACTAATTGGTTTTCAAGTAATCGTGCTATTTTTGATGAGGTTCGACGAGACCGATCGCTCATCCTTCTCTTGTGTTGCGAGACAAGTCAAAAGGGAAGAAAGGTACACACTTCCACTGTCTCCAAATATCTCGATTCGAGAATTTTTATCAAATATGTTATACTCCACTAAAACTAGAATCGACCTTTTATGATGCTTGTCATTTCTTTATCCCGAAAAACAGATACCAATAGATCGAACCACAAAATAATTAATCCCTTAGGAAAAACCCCTTTCGAAATGTATTGTCCTACTCACCTTCCCACTTTTCCTACAAGCACCTTTTGGACTCGCAAAACCTTTAACTCATCCCAAATGGGTTCGAGAATTGAGAACCCTTAGAGAAACCCGTCGCCCAAAACCCAAAAACAAAGACATTTCCGTATCGAAATTGTTTTACTTTCCTTACCTTAACCTCCCCGAAGCTCTCCCGCCTCCTTGGCTAGTACATATTGATCGAGTCAAAATTTTGACTCCATCACCTTTTGGTGAGGTTTTATTGTTTTCTCTCGGTTTTCGATTCCGTGTTTTGGAAACCGACTATCTTCATTCTTTGGCAGTTTCAAAATCTACTAAGGTGGTTGCCTTCGAGAAGGCACAAGAGGAAGGAAAGGACGCAAGCCGGGAGTCCCTGGATGAATCGGACCCTCCGGCCTTCACCAGGAAACGAAAACAATCGGCCACCACTACTTCATCTTCGAAAAATCGAAGGTTCTTTTCGATCTCTTTGTCTCATCCATTCTTCGTTTATAACATGTTTCCCTATGGAGCCTCAAACCTCTTTTCGATTTCTACCCTACGAAAAAATCGAAGAGTCCCCGATCGATCCAACCATCCACAGCAGATCCATTGTCGATGGATTCGAACACCGTTCCTTCTACGGGTCAAACAACGCCCGTCACCCATTCCAGATCATGTGAGTTTTCTTTTCCTCTACCTTTCATGTCTTAGATTTTGT